TAAGTGAGAGCTGGCTTTGGTCAAGTAGGTCGGATGGGATTTTTTTACCAGATTGATGAGGTTGAGGTGACTCACTTTGTCTCCTCTTTCTATTCTTACCCATTGTGCCAGGCAAGGCTGGCATGGGGCAGGTGCCCCTCTCCTTTTCACAATAGTAATAACAAATTAAAAGTTCTAATCCTTATAATTTGATCAATGAAAATTTTGAGGACTTGAAATTCAGAGTTCGACTCAAACGTTCACAATCACTGCAAGCGCCAACCCGTCTCACCAAAGTTCCGAACCTTCCGCAGTCTCATCTTGATCCGCTGCAACATCCCATATACTGGGTGCAACATCTCCCCCCTACTGAATGGCGACACCACAATGGAGGCCACAGCTGTCTTCACCCCTCTTAATGGCTCCTCCCTTTGCATAATCAACATTTACATCCCAACAGCCTCCTCCTGCCCCCCAGGATATTCCCTGGATCTCTCAGGCATTGTTACAATCCCGAATGACTGTCTGATAGTGGGCGATTTTAATGCCCATCATCCCTCTTGGTTCTCCCACACAAAAGACCAGAGAGCCACAGCAAGAGGGACCTCAGTGGACGAACTCATCTTCAGCTCCCTCCTCGCCTACCTCAATGAGGACTTGCCTACCCGCCTCCCCTACCATGGCCCGCCCTCCTCACTGGATCTTGCCATCACCAGCAGTCATCTACTACTCAACACCTCTTGGACTCCTCAAGTTGCTCTTAACTCTGACCACCAGCCCATCCTGATCCATCTTCCTACCTCTGCTGACTCATCGTCCCCCCGGGCCGCTCACTCCTACGTCAACTTTAAGAAAGCTGACTGGCCCACCTACATGGCAGCCATTGAGGCGGCACTCGAGACGGTCCCTCCCTCCACCTCGTGTGGTGGCGAGTTGATCCAGAGAGGAGTCCTGGCGTCTGCTGCCAGACAGCACATCCCTGCTGGCTTCCGGAAGGACTTTTCCTCTTCAGTCAACCCTGGCACCCCGTTGCTCATCAAGCAATGGGATGACATCAGAGCATGCAACCCAACCGAACCCCGGCTCCCAGAACTCAACCTGGAAATTTTATTTCCATACAGGCCCATGTTAGGAACACCTGGCAAATGCATCTTGCATCGTGCAGCAGAAGCACGCACCAGTCCAAGCACTGGAATATCCTTCGCTCCCTAGCCGGAAAGCGTAACCACCTGCCCCCAATCAGCCAATCCAATTTGGTCTGAATTCCCTCTCCTCCCAGCTCAAGATTTTCTCTGCCTTATGTAAACTCTTCACTTTGACTGCTCATCACTCTCAAAGCCCCTCCACATGCCACCTTATACATTGAATCCGGGCTGAACATCCCCTCGACAGGGTCTTCTCCCCTTTCACACCCGACATGGTGAAGCTTGCCATCGCCAACAACTCTTCCACCCAAGGTCCAGACGGCCTCACGGTCCTTCACCTCAAGCAACTCGGCCCACATGGCCCTTGCTGGTACCAAGCCCTTGCTGGTACCAACTGGGGCTTCTCCAAGGAGGACATTATTGCCACTTACCAAACCATCACGCACCCAATCCTCAACTATGCAGCCCTATCTGGTACCCTGTTGCCTCACGCACAGCAATTGCCAGCCTTCAAACCATACAAAACACTGTATTGAGATTAGCCACCAGCTGCCTCAAAATGGCCCCGATCGCCCATCTTCACCAGGAGACAAGTGTCCTCCCATTGTCTGCTCACCTCGACCTGGCTTGTGCCCAGTTCCTTGCTAGCGCCCTCCAGGCCTCCCATACCTCATTCCGCATCGCTTCTGCTCCACTTGGGGACCTCCCCATGAAAGCCTCCATCCAGTCAAGGTTTGGTCACACTGTTCTTGGCTAATGGTATCATGCCCACCGGTGCCTATGGAGAGGCCAAGCGGTCCCTCTGCAGGGAGATTGCCTCCCGCGTTGTGGCGACTGATGTTATCAATGCCATCCTCGCAGCCCCACCACCACTGATTGCATCAGTGGAGGCCTCACTCCCTCGTCCTTACCGTTCAGCGCTATCCCAGCTCTGCTCGGGATACTGCAGCTCCCTGGCATCCTACTCTGCTAGGATCAGATGCTCCCCTAGCTCCGCCTGCCCAGAGTGCAGGGATCCCCTCCATTCCATCCAGCATCTATTTGCCTGCTCCACCTGCCCCACCTTCCCCATGTCCCTCAGCGGCTCCTCACTGTGGGACAGCCCCATGGAGGCAGCGGCGTTCCTGGCAGCCCTTCCTGCCTTCGCCCATCGCCCCCCTTCTGGTGCCTTCCTCCCGACTGGTCGCAACTAACAACAGCAACAATAATGTAATGACTGCATATGTGAAGGGTGCTTTTATTTTTCATGGTCATGTGTTCTCATTACCCTTTTGCTCCTTCAGAACCCTGCACATAGGAGATCCTTGTTTGAATAGTTACATTAAATATTGCTTATTCAAGGCCTATTGGCTCCAGGGTGAGCCGCCCAGGCTGGACCCTCACCTACCAAATACGTTCTCATGTGCATCACAAGGTAGTGCATCCTCTAAATACTCACTGGGATTCATTGACATTTCTTTGTTCTCGGTACCACTTTCAGTATAATAGAGTAGCACTTGTTTTATTATCATTATTATGTAATTTTGAAATATACTGACCTCAGTATTGCCCTGAGCAAAATATTCCATGATTGATAATACTTGAATATACACCCCTACTTACTAGTTAATTTTGGTTAGCTATTGTTGCTCTGTGCTGTTGATCTTCATTTGCCCACAGTTGCTGTGGCTACATCTTCAACAAATTGCCCTCTTGTTGTGGAGCTGCATGGTCTCTGAAGCTCCAATAATCACCAAACAACAACAAATAGCACTTTTCCTTCAGTATTCATCACCATCCATACATCAGCAACAAACAGCAAAATAACTGTCTTGTTGACTGGTGACAGCTTAGTGCTCTGTGCAGATTTTTAAGTTTGGTTAAATTTAAATAATTTTACCCTTTTTCTTAACGTGCTACCTGGTCTTGGTAGTTGTTTTATCAGAATGTCAAAGCAAGCAAATTGGCAGAATAGGGTTGATATTGAAGTGACATCATCAGAAAAGGAATTGGCTCATAAAGCATTAACTGAATTTCAAAATTTTAATTATGTGAATGCATTAAATGCCTTATTGAAACTGGAAGAACTCAGACCAAATGATGTAAAGGTAAAATATGTTATGAAACTGACTAGTCAGTCATAATATAATAATAATATCAGTCACTATACTAGTCAGTGTGTATAAAAGGTAGAATCTTGTACATTTATATGACATAAAACTAGTAGATCTATTGATAGTGTTGTGCACCGTGCTATCAGCTCCCTATCTGTTGTGTGACTTTTCAATGTTTAGAAGATCTGCATTCCTGAAGTGTTTTTGTATATTGAAGCCAGTTAAATGGTCAATATTTAGTCCATTACCTTGCTCCATACAAACTTTACAAAGCTAATGAATAGACTTGTCAATAATTGTTTACCCAATAATCCCTAAGTGGTAAACACCACCTTGGCCTGTTGGCCATTATTGAAGGCAATAAGTGCCCTTTTTGGCCATCCATTATGATCCATATACTGTTATTGTTAGTAGGCTAATTGCAACATAAAAAATAACCTTTCAAAAAGACAAAAAAGCTGAAAAAATAAAAAAAATCAAATAAATAAAAAAAAAATCATGAAAAAATAAAAAATAGTTGATTTCTTATTTTTTGGATTTTTTTTTAAATCAAAAAAATCACCAACCCTGTAATTTAGCATCTGAGAGGTTCTTGTTGACGATCATACTTATAACTGAAATATTAAAACTTCAAACTAACATTTTTCCAATAATTTTATATCTTCATGATTCAATTATGCACATCTGGTAACAATTAGATAGGTAGGAGATAATTCAACTAGAGGGAATCTTGCAGCTCCAAAAAAGTCAGGAAAGCTCTAGTTGTACATTACCTTGAAAAATAGATATGTTGCCCACATGGTAGTTGAAATGTGGTTTTCCAAGTTATGACCTATCATTCCAATATCTCAAAGACCAGATTCTTTTATATTTATTATAGGATGGCACCTTGTGAGCTGGAATATTTCAAATTTCATTAAATTCTTTAAACTCTGAGAGTTATGAGGTTTTATTGAAAATTAATGTGCCTGGATTCAATTCATTTTTTTTTTTATATGCTAGGATCTATGAAAATATTCAAGTTAGCTAATATAATTTTGTTTAGTTTAATATTTTCTATGTAAATATTTTTGTGTATATTGTTAGATGATAAATCTATATTTTAATTTTTAAAACAGTGTTGACTTGATCATTTAATCCATTTCAATTATATATCCAGAGCACAGAGGGTGAGCAAATAACTATAGATTCTTTGGTGACAAATCAGCTTAAAAATAAATGTCTGCAGAAGATCTTGCTGACACATTTCTATTTAAATGACACTTATCATTTAGTAGGAAATCTTGAAGTTTTAGGTAGTATTGGTGATGAATCCTTAATAATACTGGCAACAACTTGAGCCTAAAAATCTGACCTTGGCAACACAATTTCCAAATTCTTCTAATTTCAATCCAAACGCTTGAGCAAATGATTGGTCATGGTCATTGAATGTTGACATATTATTTATTTATATGTAAGCTCATTGCAGGTTCAGCACAACAAGGCAGCTTGTGAGTTCTTCCTGAGTGGTCTTACAAATGTGGATGCATTCCTTAAAGCTCTTCAAGAAGTTATTGCCCAGGTAAAGTATGTATATTTCTGTACCAGATAGTAGTTATTATATTCTTAACAAATATGATGATAGCAATAATATTTGTCATCCTACTGCATCACATATTTCTGTTTCAATAGTGCTAAGCTTGATAGTAAAAATTAAAAATAAAAGTAATTTTTTTCAAATGTGTATCAAGGTATATATTTTGACATGTTTTTTTTATAAAATTTGTGTCTTGAATTTGAATATGTAAACTACCTCCTCAACCCATTACTTGAAAATCTTGTGAAATTTCATTGATGAAGTATAATGTGCCTTTAAAAAAAGCTCTTGTGAAAACTTTGGAAATTGTTTGAGAAAGGACACTTTACTTCATCAATTATATATAGTGATTGAGGACAAGATATTGCCCAAGGGAAACTTTATGTATCTTGCCATAAACCATGAGACATAATTACCAATAAATGTTTATTTGAGTGGACATTTCAGTACAGCAAGAGCCAAGGCCCTGGTCGCCTACCTGAAGTGCCCTCATCAAATGAACCATTGATAGCAGTGCTGAACCTGGCAGTGGTGTACTACCACCAACTCAAGTATAATGTTGTCATCCAACTCCTCAAGCCTCTTTATGATGCCATTGAGTCACTTGGTGAGCAAGTGCTCTAAATAATTATTTATGCATCTTTATTTAATAGATTTGTCACTGTCATAGATGCTTTACAATATTTTTCAAAAGTACATGCTTATATAATGAAGTTTGATCTTTCAATAGGTTTTCCTGCTAAACAGCAGTGTAAGTAGTAAAATTATAAATTCAATTCAATTTCATTCACAAGGTTTTTATCAGAATTCTCTACCAAATTCACTCAACTCTTTTCAAATTGTTTCTCCAGTTGGTTAGCTCTATATAAATAACTTGCTGGGCTTTACAAGAAAAAGACAGAAAAAAGTGCTTAAATCATTTCTCCAAGGATTATATCATTAACAATTTTTGTCTCTCAACAAGCCTGAATTTCCCATTCAATGTGTCTTATTGAATAATTTTGTCATTTCAGGTAGTTTTAAAACAGCTAATATTCAAAACTGAGGCTGAAATTGGTAATAAAATAATAAAAAAATTAGTGAATAAAAAGTCTTCACCAAAAGTGTTCAAAAATGTGCTGTGGTTCTATTCCAGCGTCAAGTTGACAAAAAATATCCTACAGATGAAATGGTGGGGGTAAGGGTTTGCCTGCTGCTCATTTCTTCCCACATCCAAATCTCGAGTGCTGACAACGCTCAGGCTGTAATTGAGCGCACGCGCACCACTTTCCTGCCCCAACCTCTGCCTTCTTCTGAAGGTGAAACAGTCATGTCATCCCCCCACCAGCCGCTTGCTCACAGGTATGTTTGCCGCAGAAAATTTGTCTCTTTAGCAGATTTCAATATATACTACACAATGTAGGTATCTTTTACATGTTCATTTCTGATATTTTTTCAAAGCTGAAAACATGTCAGTAGACTCTGAGGTTATCCTTCATGTGATTTAAAACCCACTGTTTCATGCATGGGAGTTAGTTACAGCAATTATAAAAGATAATTGATTTTTTACTTCATATGAATCCATTACAGTTTATAAATTCAATTGTGTAAAAATGAAGGTCTCTTGATAAAGTTTGGTGGTTCAATAACTTTTTGCTCCATAAATGCAGCCTAATGACTAATTATAAATTTATTATTTAAAAACATGTCCATAAATAATGAACTAGACATACAAAGTTTTATATGATTTGATCTAACTTCTTTGCTATTTAGTGAGATTGGAGTTGCTGCTCTGCCATCTTCACCTCCTGGCGCAGGTTGGTTTGAACCTTGAATATGTTGGTTTCTAGTTGAACTTGGGTGAGCATAATGTGGAAACTTATTTTAGTAGCATAATTATGTTGTGTATCGTTGTGAGTTGCTCTCTTATCATAAACTATCATTCCCTCCAACTATTTTAATAATCCTAAATGTTATTGGTGATTTCCAATTTTAAAATTATTATGAAACCTAGTCATTGATTATAATTATTTTTTGAAGTGTAATTTTGTGAGCGTTACCTACTTCAAGTCGCCAAATAATTCCAATGTCAGGTAACAGTTCTTCTGCTGGAGACACAGCAGGAAACTTTGCGAGTGGAGGGGACGGCGCAGAATTCACGAGTGCAGAAGTAGGATCTCCAAAGGAAGCCTGCATTGATCAAGAGGCTCTGCGACGTCGTTTGCAAGTGCAAAGCGTGCGCACGATGTTGTCATTCTGCCAGCCTAAGTTGGCGGCCAAGGAGATGAAGGTTGCTATCCTACAAGCGGTCAGCAGTGGAGATCAGTTGGTAAGGTTGCATTGTTTTTATTATTTGTTATAAAATGACTTTCTAACATTCAGTTTTTTTTTGCATAGTGCTGGAGTGCTTACGATTTAGAAATAGTATTTCGTAGTGATAGTATATAAATTCATCAAATACACAAGTTGTGCTAATATCGCCACTACAATCTCTCTGCTCATAGTTCTGTTGCTGATGTAGAACTACTTCTACTTCATGATCATTCTTCTCTCAGTATTTGATATTTTTCTGCTAATATCTTATATACATATATATATATATATATATATATATATATATATTTAGAACACAGAAGCTCAATGTTGATACTTTGAAATTGAATGTTACGCAAGACCACAGCTGCTTTTGTGCATATTTATGATTAAAAAGTTAATCTATATTTCTTTTGGCCGCAGCAACTGAGCCAGATATGCCTGAAGAGCCAGGTCCGGCACATGCAGTGTCAGCCTCAGAAGGCTCTTAAAGTTCTAAACGCTCGCACTGCCATCCCTGAAGCCGCTCCTCTGGCCCACAACTGTGCCATTACGCGGTATGCAAGAACCTCCTACTCGTTATTTGTGGCGGCCTTCAGCTCTTGTATGTTGCAGAGCCAGCTGATATCTCCTTGAAATATCGTATATTGTTAGACATACTAACTATATTTAATGTCACTGCGTCAGCTTTTAACCATATCTGTATTTTTGTTCATGAATTATGTGTATAAGATGAATCAAAATGGACTTAAAGTCAGTTGATCTCTTTTCTAACTCGAGTTATAAACGACATAATTCAACATGAACCGAATTACATGCAGCCGCGATGTGCCATCGCAGGACGTTTGGTTCTACAATAACCTGGCCGTAGTGAACTGGCGGTCTGAAAAGCCTGCCTTAGCGCTCTCCCATTTTGATAAAGCCATCAACACATTCGTCAAGGAACAGAGTAAAAAGGGTAATAAAGCAATTCTACTAACTGCTTACAAAACTGACTGTTTTTTGTGTTATATTGATATCTGCTAACATTGAATTCTTTGTTCTGCCAATATTATACATATACAATTTTTTTCGTTCATCATAGTTCTAAAATTTTGAATGGTGTCATTGAGCACCATTTTTTGAATTGTTTCATCGAATTTTCCATTGAATGAATATAATTGCGCACCTATGATTATCCAGAAGTATGAACATCAGTTTTAATTTTGCATTCGTTCAAACCAGCCGCGGATGGACAAGTCCCGTCCCTGTACAATAACTGCGCGAAGGTGAACGCGACTTTGTGCTACAACATGGGGTGCTCGATGCTGCATTTCAACACGCTTCCCATGGTGCTCGCGGCTTTTGATCTCTTCATAGAGACGCTGCAGCTCTATCCTAAAAACCCGCGTCTGTGGCTGCATCTCGCCGAGTGCTGCATTGCTGTCCACCACTGGGTCTGTTGATTAACCTACCATTTCTGTATGAATTGCCGAGCTCTCCATTACCATAAGTGGAGTCGCTTACTTATTTATCATGTCGTATCTGCGTATTCTTACTCTCATGTCGTATCTGCTTTCTTTAAGTCTCACAGCTCATTCGAAACCGATTTCTGTACAATCAACTTTTCTAGTTATTGATTTAAAAAAGGAAATCTACCTAAATAAGACATATAAATGAATAAAGAAATTCCAAGTGCGACAGGATAAAGGTTTTTCAGAATTCTATGTTATTTATGATGTCACCATTGAAGAGTACCGTAGCGTTTTATCGTATAATGCAGCAATATCGACGTTGAAAATCAGACCATCAGGTCTGTCGCCAATTCTGAGCAACACAGAATTTTTACAGCTTGTTGGGGGTCTCGAACAGGCTGTGCTGTGACTGATGACAACACTGCTTCAATTTTGCTTTAATAAAGCGCTCGGCCACCTTGCTTATTTCGACCAGAAATTCAGAAATATCACGGTTGGCTAGGGGCCTCGAACCCATCCCATCCCATATTCATCAGATTCTTGTTCGGGGCGTTTTAATAAATTTATTTAATTATGAAAGTTTAAGCTAACGATTATGCTGCAATCATAATTATCAGTAACACTATTAACATCGTAGTTTTTCAATTATGCCGCGACTTTTCCCTTCTGACAGAAAAGGAAAGAATTAGAAGACGCGGCACCTGCTGGCGTCAAGAAGCTGGGCAATGGGATGCTCTCGAAGCTCCTCCTCATCCCCCCTCCCTCCCGCTGCTCTTCATGGAACAGGTGAGTAGCCTTTTCCAGAATAATTTTTTGCATTCTTATATATTCACTTTCGATGCAGTATAAATTGTACTCAAACATGTGTGGGAGTGACTTACAAATATGCAAACAAACTGGTAACGTGTATTTAATTTGCTTTTGTCCTACTTGCAATTTGTCTTTGTAAATATGCAAAGACGACCATTCATTATTTATTTTTTCGTCCTTCCCGCAGTATTGAAGAATATGCGTTGTACTGCTTTAAAAATGAATTTTATTTGTTTCACGTAAAACATATTAGCAGACGTGCCAGAAAAGATCATATTGACTATAGAATGCAATTATGAACCTCTTCGTCACGGCCACAGCTGTGGTGAAGCTCCTTCTGACTCGGCATTCCCGGAGCCGAAGCTTCCTTTTGGCCGCCTTTGCCTGCAGAACGCCCTGAAGCTCCTGCCTACATCCAGCCGTGATCTCGACGAGCTTGAAAGTAAGCATCTTTGCTTTAAATTTCTCGTATCTTATAATGTATAATTAAAACTTAATTAGGCACATCTGGTACGTAGTCAGATATCATTCAAGCCATTGTCCTAAATATATTTCTCAACTCACTCAAAGTGTGTTTGAATATAACGTCGTGAATATATCGACCGTTTGACCGCGTATCTACTGTAATTATCGCGTCTGAGTATTACTTGGATCTGAAATTCGATTCACAGTGGGAGAAAAGTGAAGCATAGCAAAATTATGAGGATAGGATTAGATCTACTATAAGAGTTTAATTTTTAAATTGGTCTTTGTGAATAAAAATTGGCATTAGAAACACACAAAATACTTTTTTTCGTATTTTATTACAAAAGGCGAGATAAAGTTCTAGTAATTTTTTTATTAGTAAAGGGTTTCGGTATAATTGGATTCTAAAATTGCAGGGATTATCTATGCTGGACAAAGCCGAATAAATGCTCGTGTTCAATTATGAAGGCAGTTTTCGATATTTACTCTAATTCATCGTTTTCATCCAATTTAGTTCATCAATTAACATTTTAGTGGATCATTGACTAATTTTCAGGTAGTTACTAATATGCTAAACTAAAAAAAAGTTGTAGAGGACAGCTCGTCTGCGATGATTGTTAATCTATACGTAAGTTTTTATTATTAATACATTTTGAGCAATTTATTGCCTTGGAATAATGTTACGGACGCATGCCGAGCAGAGCAGCGACAGTTGTTTCCCGCCCTACCGTCCCTTCCGATGCGTCCTGACGAAGTGCGTCGTGTGAAGTGCGCCGTCCTCTGCTGCGCTGCCTACACTGATCTCTGTCTCGACGACCACCAGGGCGCTCTCACCCACGCCTCTGCCCTCATCAGTCTGGTCACGTCATCTCCTGCTACGTCGTCAACTCCTGCTGCTATTCACTTCAGGTTTGTCAAGTTATATTCAACGAACAGATCAATAGCCGGTTGAGTAATAGCTCAGGAGTAAGATTGAAAGCTCAAATAGTAGTCCAAAAATTGGACCGACATGAGGTAAGGTGAAAGTAGAAACAAACATGGACCGAACAGACTATAAATTTGGCAGTGTCTTTTGCATGAGAATTTGTGACCATTCTCATCCACTTGTCTCGAGGCAAGACCCCGTAGATATTGATCGTGTTGCATACATCGTTGGAAATCAGGATTTAAGATCGACACTGGTGAACTTGTCAATGTGCTTTCCAAATCTTGGTTTATTACTAGTGATGATTATTTGAAACTGAATAGTATGCATTTTAAAATTACTTTTTAAAGGCAACACTTTTAAAAAGGCTAGTGTCTCCGATGCTACTAATGTACAATGAATTTATTTATTATTTTTTATAAATGTAAAAGAAATAATTTTATTTTTTAATATATATAAATAATGTAGTTTTTAAAATTATTTATTCTGTTAATTGATTCAAGCATTGTCTCCGACTTTACGCAAGTGTGCAAAATTTCAGATCGATTGGACAGGTAGAAGTGTGTTAAATATCGATTGTAAGATTTGTAGCAGACAAACAAACAGCAAGAAGTGAAGTTAAAGAGAAGTGTTGTAAAAAAATTACTAGATAGTCTGAAATTAATTATGGATGTAAATTTATTCCTTGCGAACGCAATCGCATGTGCTTCGTGTTCATTTATTGATATGTGGGTAAGCAAAATGAATAATGGATAATGTGTGGTATTCTTTCGTCCTCAGGTACTTGGGTCATCTGTACGCAGCAGAAGCTTTAGTTTTCATGAACAAAATCAGCCCTGCGGTGAAGCATTTGGAGCAAGGCTGGAGCTCGGATGTGATATCCAGTATCTATGACGGCACTCTACTGTACGATTTCGAGGAAGGTTTGTACCTGTGTGCTTACCATATTGAGAGTGATTTGCACCAAATGCTTTAATGCAAAATTTAGTTGTCATTCATTTTCTCACATATTCCTTGAATCAAGTAATTTCCGCTCATTAACATTTTTGCGACACGAATAAGAGCAGCTCAATTCCTCCTCAAGCGGGCGGATTTCTAAAGAAATTAGAAGAAAGTCCATACGATGATACCGACTAATATCGTTTGTTCCGGAACGTGAGCAGAACTGCTAGCGAACTCCAACCTCGATCCTCACCAGCTGGTGATCAAGTACAACCTCAGCGTCACATTTGCACTCCGAGAAGACTTCGACAAAGCACTAACGAGCATGAAAGAAGTTTGTACTTCTCACGTACCTAATTTTTACATTACTGTTGCGATGTATCGCAAATTTATAACGAAATTTACATAATGATTCGATTGTAAAAATATGTTGGCAATAAAATCGAAATAAAAGTATGAATCTCTACCAGACTATATTTATCACGCGTTGTCGATCCCGTGCAACAAGCAGCGTGATAATTTCGCGTATTGCAAAGTAAGATAATGTTTTGTTACAGATTTGGGACAATATGAGAAGACAGCCCCCTCGTGTCGTTATGTTGGCCATATACCTTAACCTGAAGAAAGGTGAGAACTAAATAAACAACAACCTTTACATAACGTGATACTTGTTAACAATTAAGATAGTAAAGTTTAGTTCATTCATGCAAAATTTTATACATTTCAGGACATCTCGAGAAGGCGCAGCAACTTGCCCTCGAACATTTGCAGACCGTTGATCCGAAGAAGTATAATGCTTCAATGTAATAAATTCTGACATCATGGCAATGGAAATAAAAGATCTATCATTAATCCCATTTATTGAGTTCATCTAACCCCTATTACAGAAGAGGACAAAGGTACTATAATTATTTTATAAATACGATACTAAAATTTCATTGTACGCGTTAGGACTGAATAATGGTCATATGTAACTGTATCATTACAGGTTCACTTTGTTTTTCAACTGCAAGTAGAACAGAACGATCTCAATTCGAAATTTCACGAACATTCAAAGAGAAACGCAGATCTGAAGTCTATAAATATCGTCCAGTAGTCGCAGATTAATATGTACAGTTTCACTTCTTTACTCCAAGACAACTAAGTTCTTCTCTGGCGCTTGAGAAGACTGACGGTTACCTGCAAGAAAATAGTATTGAACACGACATAATGAGTGTAATTTAACTTTGACGCCACCTCATACATTAATTACCATGTGGCAATATTTAAATTTCCTATACTTCTGACAAATTGCAAGATCTTGACCCCTCAGTTTTCACTTTGCAATACAATATAGCACTAAAATGAGTAGGTAATAATATTACTAACCAGTGGTTGAACTGCTGCTGTTGCTACTCCCGCTGTTGCCTGGCAACGTGTATTGCGGGCGGAAGTTTGCGAAATTTGTGTTGGCTAAACCTGGCAGCAAACCGCTTGGCGTGTACGGGCTTGGGAACGGGTTTGACGCTGCACCTACAAAGAAAATTAGTTGCTTAGGTAAAATGGTTCAATAAATATTAATCAACTGTAGATATACTCTGAAGTTGGTTCAGAATCCTTTTTTAAGAATCCTACGAAACGTATATCGATAATAAAATCCTAGCATCTGCTCGATTCGAATTCACTATGGATTAATTGATGTGATTCCAATCCAATCGTTCAATTCCACATGGCCCCACAAAATTTTAAGCGGTCATATGGGAGGAAATTCCAGTAACGAATGTGAGAGATCATACCAGGCGAGTTTTTATCAGCCGCTGTAGCACCGGACGCAAGTCGTGATAAGATAGAGCGCTCGCTCATCTGAAGGCGTTGAGCAACGGGCGGAATGCGCGCAAGAGATGCGGGAAGGCGCGTCACATCGCTCTTCATGTCGGACAGCAACTCCTCTAGTTGGTTCAGCACCTGCGTTAGAAAAAATTGAACATTTTGTTCATATCACAAGAAACAAATGCTCATCAACTTAGTTGTTTGTGAAAATTTTAAAATATAAATATCTGAAGACGTGTGTCAAAAATTTGGCTTTGCTTTTGGAATTGGATTATTTGCTTTTACTAATACACGTTGTAAAAGTACGTAAATAAATTTGTTAGCAAAAAATCATAGTTAACAAAGAATAGCGTAGTCCTGTTCGTTGATGTACACATAATGAGCGCATAACGTCACACAATAACAGATAAAGAAATTTCCTCGCATTATAAAGAGCGCACCTTATTGAGCACCGCAGTGGCGGGCTTGTTGCCAGCAAGGCTTTCTTTGCTGAGCTGCTGGTGGGATTCAGCGAGACACTCGACCTCAGCGAAGCGAGCGTTGAGGGCGCACGCAGGATGATTCTGGTCTTGCTGCAGACTTAAGAATGCTGCCCGACGAAGCTGCTCTTCTATCACAAGAGCCTGCTCCAGCAGCTGAAACAGACACAATCTTTAGCTATCGAGTTCGTTGGAAGAAAACCAAATTGATCCACATAAAATTGACTAAAACCAAATTCCTTTTCCTATCAGGAAATAAATCGTTAAGACTGCTCATCCAAAAGGTTACAGGAATATCCTAAGCTGGAAATTGAACTTAAATCGAATATGCGCGGACGTTAGTAAACATACATAAGGTATGTTTTATTCCCAAGTATTCAAACCTTGAATCGGCGAGCCAAAAACTTGTTTTTGATTTCGAGGAAGTTGCCTTTGCCCACGTCCATTTTAAATGGTTCATTGATGATAGCGAAGCGGAGATCATTTTGGATGTCTTGCCAACGTCCATACCCGTGGCACACGATTCCCGCCAATAGCCAGTAATCATGTCTGAATGGTGAAGATACTGTATTATTAATTAGCCTTATAAGACAACTACCGCAAGAAATGGACGACACTTTTGAGCAGTTTTTATATATCACATTGAAGAGGTAATGTACTGTGGGCTCCTGAATAAAAGGTTCGTAGGATTACTCGTACCTGCGGTGCCATATCTCGTACTCGCGGCCAGGCACAGCGGCTCGCTCCTCGTTCTGCCACAGTGTGTGCAGTTCGGTGAAGCCTCCGTCAGCGATGTTGAACATGAACTTCCTCTTCGATACTGGTACGATTTCTCTCCTCTCATCCTTCCCTCCCTTCGCATCATCGTCTTTCTTCTCTTCTGACTTGACTTCTTTCTTCTCTTCCTGTACTTCTTTATCATCAGAACCTTCGGTCTTCTCTTTTTCGGTTTTAACTTCTTCAGTCTCAGCTTGCTTATCCTTTTCAGCAATTGCTTGCTTTCCCTCGTCTTTCTTCTCATCTTTAACTTCGCCTTCTTTTTCCTCGCTCTTTTCTTTCTCCGATTCTTCGGCTGGTTTTCCCTAACATCCAAGAAAAGATTTAACTTAACCAGAGTTTTAACTAAAAGAATTAAACAAAACGAACACCACATAACATAAATTAAAACTTCTACGTAATATTTAAGTTCATATCAATAATAAATACACACTCTAAACAATGCATCTATTTTAACGTGATATCAGCACATGCAAAGTTAAACGAGTTATAGGAATGAAAGTAATATTAAATTTTGTTCAACTTACTTCAATATTCTTCTTGGGAGCTTCCTTGTCAGCTTCTGGGGATTCTTCAACTTCCATTTTCTCATCAGTAGTTTTAGACTCCACAGCAGCATCATCCACCTTTTCGCCGTCTTTCTTATTGCTTGCAGCTCCATTTTTCTCGGCCTCTTCCACCACAACCTCCTAAGATTAATTTGGTTAGAAATTCCTTGCAATGAGAGACAAGTTTATCAGTAGTAAAATTAGTTATTCAAAAAATGAATATTTCATCATGTTTCATTGAGGCTAGAATGTTACTAGAGAAGAATTGAACTTTTACGAAGAATTGAAAGGATTTCTAACCTTATCCTCGGATGATTTTTCTTTGAGCTTCTCGGTAGTTTTGGTTTCAGGCTTGGCAGCTTGTTCCTCTACTTCCTGTTGCTTCTTTTCGCCGGTCTCTTTTTCTTTCTCTGGAGACTCCTTCTTTTCGTCATCATCCAGTTTTATGGTTTCATCTTTCTTGTCTTTGTCCTTTTCGTCATCTTTCACAGATGGAGCAGGTGATGCAGTCGTTGCTGGCGTGGCTGAAGAAAATGGAATGAATAAAGTTAAAGGAAAAACTTTAATTAGCAAACATTTTATAAATACCTGCTTCCATTACGCGGGAGCTTCCGCAATGCTCTTAAAAACTTGTGACAAATCTGGAAAAACAATTTATTTGAAAGTTAAGTAATGAGTTCCGAAAAAAAGTCTGTTGCAAGTTACATACTAGAAAAATCAGACTAGATGTGAACTAGAATACACATTGAAGAACAATTATTCACCGAAAATTGTTATCATTAGCACGTAAAAGAAGAATGTTTAGCGAAACTATTACACAACTCCGTCAAAAGAGCAGCACTGAATTCACCTGTGCCAGATGTTGCAGCGCTCTTCATATCGGGAGGGAGTTCAGGAGGCTTGGTCAATGCTTCAGGCATCGAGTATTGACCGTTGATCTCTTCAAACTCACAAGCCTGCATCAGTAAATTTACACACGTCTAGAGTGGGAACACGTGTAAAAACACAATCTAATATACATAGTCTTGACTTGACGGTAAAATAAAAATAAAAAATAAAACGAGATGAAAAATTCACAACGATATCTTTGGCTGCACTCATTTATACGGTAGAGTTAACAAGATCTAGTGAAGCAGAATAACAAAAGAATGATAATAAAAAGATATATCGATCATTCATAGATAGTACATGAACGTATATTGAATGATAATTATTTATATAGTGCACAGATGAAGATTTTTATAACGCACTTTCTTCCTAATGAGAGACATGACACCGATCCTGGTGAGGACGTGCTGTCTGCTCAGCCCCTCCCTGGGCACGCCGTCTGCGAAGGTCTCCGCGTTGTCGTTGCCAGGCTCGCATAAGTGACGCATAAACAGCGACGTGTACGCCCGGAAACATTTCTCGCTCTTACCTCGCAAGTCACGTACAAGCCTGGGAAAAATACGGGCATTTCACTTATCTTTTCCATTCTGGTACATATCGCGACAGGAACGGTGGTTTCCCCAGAATAATATATTAACAATAATATATACCTACTTTAATATTTGCAGTACTTTCAGAATTTATTTCATATCAGTAGTAAAGTAAAGAATCAATATGAAATCTCCTACATAGGACATGGCTAGTATTCATGAAATAGCATGATGGTTTCAATCACTTATGAGACGCGCTCACCACTGGGAGTTGAAAGCTTCTTGAGGAGGCATACCATAGCGCATGACAGCGTTGAGGAAAGCCTTGCGCTGACGAGCATTGAAGCCGAGAACCTACACAAAAATAGAAAAAGAAACATTCACCTCTGTAGCTGAACGACATCGCCCATCTCTCCAGTTCACATTATGGGTGCAGGCATTAGCATAGCACGCCAGGTTCTTCTCCAAGGCTACATAAATAAAACAATCATCGTGATCTTGCTACCAAAAAGAGAAACATTAGGAATAATTTGTGACATTTTCCCCTATATTTATGGAAATCAATACAAGGAGAATATCAGGGCGTAAATTTGTTTCTCTCTGTTGACTCAAAAAACTACATCTCATAATTATAACGATCATCTGTTTATAACGTGAGAATAGAAAACTGTCGTTTAATTTTGGCAAGAGTTCAAATGCTGGCCGTTTAGAAAAGATTCAAGTTGCTCGCCGCCTGCATGACTCACTTCGATGTTGCCGCCCACTCTCGCCAGCAGGGGCGGCAGGGGACGGTCTCGGTCTGACCGCTCACCGCGCCTCTTGGAGCGGCGACTGCCGTCACCTGCACACGTGAGGTAAACCCTGAGTCATCACTTCAAAATATACACTAATCAATAATTAACATTGATTCATTTGTTCTCTCAACAGCAGCGTTGTAGGTCTTCCAATTGTCAACTTGCAAGTGTGGTTTTAATTTATAGTGGCTTCTTCAATGAAGAATATTGTGTTCATGAGCAAATAAAGCTAGTGAATAGCCATGTTGAACAGAATTTCAGTCAAGAGAAATCTCAAATTTGGTGGATATTGGAGAAGTTAGTTGTTGGTAAGGTAAGAAACTTAAAGCCACAAAGAAATATTATTAACAGTGCAAGTAACGATGCAACACTTCGCAATGATGTCAATACCTTCATTCTTCTCATCAAATTCTTCGTCATTGTCATTGTCAGATGGCAGAGAGAAGTCAGAGTTGTAGTCTGAGCCCTGCTCAGCCTGCCAGTTCGCGTCTTCTCGGCCCTCAGCGGCATCGTTGTAATTAACCTAAGATCAAATACAATCTGACTTGAATATTTTAAATATTTCAACGCAGAAGAGAAAAATCAAACAAGAATGACACAGTATAAAACTTCAAAGACTTTGGGTATTTAAAGACATTGGGTCATTTTTCATGCATTGACATTTTTCAGTATCATTGTTTTACCAAGAAATTTTAGAGCAAGATCAGATACGCACCTGCTTTCTGATACGTTTGCCTTTGCCGAGCGTGCGAGCAAGGTCTTCCTGCTGCTGCTCGTAGTGGTGCCGTAACAGACGCTCCCAATACTGGTTGTCAGTAGTCTCTGCTTCCTGCTTCAGCACTTCAACGTCTTCCTGCTCCTCGTCTTCTCCCTCCTTGGTGACGTAAGATGCTACTTTGAAGGAGCTCAGGTACTCGTTGGCCCAGTTTTCCTTCTGCTCGATTCCTTCCCTAGAGCGATCCAGCAATTCTTCCACAGCCTTCTCATCATAGTGAATTTCTTCATCCTCCTTACCCTCCTCTTCTTTGAAGAGTTCTTCCGTACCAAACTTCAGGATGTCATCAAGTTCCTGCTTCGAAAAGTTGGCCGAATTTTTGCCACCCAAACCAGGGCGCACCACAAGATGTGTTAACATCATCTTCCTTTTGGCGACCTGCGTAACGCGCTCTTCCACCGAGTTGCGGGTCACGAATCGATAGATCATCACCTATTATAGATGAAAAATTAGTATGAACGATTTATGCACAGACTTACTTGACCTATACAATAACGCTATAAAATGAAATTAGCCTAATGAATTAAAGCAGCCACTCACAGAGCAGAAAGCTGTAGAAAATTTGCATGAAACAGTTAAAATAATTTGAACACCAGTAGAAGTAAATTTACCGCAAGAAAATAATAATAGGATACTTTCATGCCATATGATAGCAACTCAGTATTGAGCTGAAGTATATTTAGCCTGGCGAGTTAAATTAAGCCTTTATGACGAGCACCTTGTTAGTTTGGCCGATACGATGGGCGCGAGAGAAGGCCTGGATGTCATTGTGAGGGTTCCAGTCAGAGTCGTAAATAATGACCGTGTCCGCAGTGGCGAGATTGATGCCCAAACCACCAGCGCGAGTTGACAGCAGAAACACGAACTGTTGCGCGTTTGGAGCATTAAATCTGAACAAGAAAACGAAAAAAACGTTTGGCTTTAACTAAATGATGGCTACTTGTGAGCAACTAGACAATGGTTCCACCAACAAATTTTATTTTGATAAAATTTAATCAAAATTTGAAGGAAAAATTATTCACTGCTCCACAGCATTAATAGGTGACTCGCCTGTCAATAGATTCCTGTCTCTGCGAGCCGGTGATGCCACCGTCGATTCTCTCGTACTTGTAGCCGCAGCCCTCCAAGAAATCTTCGAGAATATCAAGCATTTTCGTCATCTGAGAGAAGATGAGCACTCTGTGGCCATCTCGCTTGAGCCTTTTCAGCATGGAATCCAACAAGAGGAACTTTCCAGAGGCTTTAGTGAGGGCGTTGATTTCGTACATTCCATTTGGCATTTTAGGAGCTTCTTCAGCAGCCGCAGGGAAGAGGTAAGGATGATTACAGCACTTCTTCAGGTCCATGACGATGTTCAGCAAAGAGACTTGCTGGCCGCCACCTCGCGAGTTCAGTGCGTCAAAGTTGCGCGTGAGAATATACTTGTAGTATTTCTTCTGCATTACTGAGAGCTCCACACGAATGATGAACTCGGACTTCGAAGGCATGTTCTGCAATGAAATACAAATTATTTACTTGTGATCAACTCTATTGATACAATATCAGAAACTTGAGAAAAAACACAAGCAAGGATCAAGATCCTGCTGATGGCAGCGAAACTACTTGTACAATTTTTTATCAAAACATAGTTTTAACTGAACCAACAGCTACTAAGCACTAAATAGCAAAGTTACCTTCAAAACGTCGGCCTTGAGACGTCGCAACATGTGGGGACCCAACATGTCATGCAGTTTGGTGATTTGGTCTTCTTTGGCTATATCTTCGAACTCGTTTTGGAAAGAGCTCAGGTCGGCAAACTTGTATGGAGCTAAGAAATTCAGCAAATGGAACAATTCTTCGAGATTATTTTGTAAAGGTGTTCCAGTCAGCAGCAGCTTGTAGCGGATGTTGTATGCGTTCAACACTCTGAAGAACTGGGCAGGAAGAAAATTTCTTGATAACGGCACTCTTCTAATATCGGCATAAATAGGGCAAGAAAATGCCAAAGCTTCGCTTAAAATACATGCTAAATTCAACATTAACCTCATTATAAAATGTACTAAACGACAGGAAGTCAATCTGAGCAATAAACCAGAAAATGGAATGTCAGAAAAAGTACCAATTCATTAGAAATGGGCCATCACCTTTGACTGGCTGTTTTTCAGCCTGTGTGCCTCATCCACCACCAAACAAGCCCACTCAAGAGATCCAAGACAAGCTTGATCCATGGAGATCATCTCGTAGGAGGTGAGCAGCACATGGAACTTGATATTCGTGGTACGGATACGGGAAGCCTTAGCCCCACCTCGCACGGCGCCCTCATCGAACGACAACTCATGTTCGCGGATCATGATGCGGGACTCGCGGTCACCGACGTACGTCACAACGTAGAAGTCGGGAGCCCAAGCCTCAAATTCTGTCGAAGTTCATGGATTTAATGTATACTCAAATAAACTCATAAGCTTCATTTCTCTTCCGAATGGAAATATTATCCAGGGTACTAATTCCATTACAGCAATTGATATCATGGCACTTGATCTTCAAAGGAAAAGGCGCCTCCACAATCCTCCGTGTCTGGAGCTACATTATCATGCTACTGACGATCACCAATCATTTGTTTATCAAGACAAGGCAAACCTGACATCGAACCTTCACCACTCAAAATTAAAAACAAGAGCGTCTTAAAACAAGTTGCAGCCCTGATGCCATATATACCCGTATCAGTGTTTTATAATTATAGAAGTAGAATAACCTCTAAAAATAACAGAAGTAAATATATCATATACCTGATACTACAGTTAGATAGTTTCCCTTCAAATTTACACAAGTCTTGTATACACTTGTATAACAATATTGAGGAGTCTGGAGCTACGTTATCATGCCACTGCCGATGAGGCAAACATCTATTATAAAATTCAAAAATTTTACAATAGACGTGAAGAAGAATAGCAAGCAATCGTTAAAATAGCTAAACAAACTCAGCAGTAGATTTCTTTCCATCAGTTCAAGATTATTCCGCGGACACGCGTGAGTAAGTGTGACAGCTTCTTCACTCCAGAATAAAGCACAATATTCGAAGCGGATATGTATACAATCAACTTCAAAATTACTGGTACCATTGCACTACTTTATGTTGAACAAGTTAATTTACTTCCCACACATGATCTAGAACAATAGTTATATTTCTAGATGTATTTCATATAAATTATTAGGTGTTTTATACATGTAAGATCATAGACGAAATCAGCACTCACCTCTCTCCCAGTTGATGATGGTTGAGAGCGGCACTGACACTATGAACGGTCCCTTCGAGTGCCCCTCCTTGTACAAGGAGTACAGGAATGTAATGGTCTGAATGGTCTTCCCGAGACCCATTTCATCAGCAAGAATAGTGTCCGTCCCTTGACCCCATGAATACCTGACGACAAGAAATTTTCTTAGCCATTAGAACATAGAAAATATTTCTCCTCACCATCTACGATAATATACAATGGTGGACGCCTCATCAGTAAAATTAGGTAGTCATGTTCTAACCTCGAATATAACTAATAAGTATCAAGCATATATACAGGTTACCACTTTAATGTTAAAGAGACAACATACGTCTAATTTACAATCAGCATCGAATTCCGAAAGGCAGCAAGAAACTTTTAGTTACTAACCTGAGCCAATTAACACCCTCGAGCTGGTAAGGGTGAAGAGACAGGCCGGTGGCGTCGATGTACTCAGGCTGCACCTCCCATTTCTTGCTGAGGTTCGTTGTGGGCTTGTCGGGAGGAGGAGTGTAGCGCCGCGGCGACGACGGCTCCCGCTCCTCTTCTCCCAACTCGCGACACCGACTCTTGCTCTTCTTCTTACTCTTCTTCACACCCCGAGAACCTAGCACACCAATGTCAATAAAATAACAAATGATCGCACAAATAATCAATTAGATTCGGTACAAGGTTGTTAAAATTTTGAACAATTCATGACGAATTGGAGAGCTTGAAGAAGAAAGAACGCAGGAAAGCAAAACAGTAGCAGCAATTAGTAGAGTAGATCAGATCAAAAGTATAACATTGAAAAGACGAGTAGTGTAGCCAAGCACCTCATGAAAATAATTCAGATTTAGTAAGCGCGGCGAGTGATAAACCACTGACCACCATCGGCATTGCAGGATTGCCGGAGGTCCTGGTAGTACTCGACGGCGGTCTTGAGGCCTTCAATGTCCTCATCTTCGTCCTCCCAGGTGGCCTGATCGTACGATAAGTCGCGCCACTTTACCAGGTACTGGGTGATGCCATCACGTAGCGTCCGGTGGTTGATGATCCGGTGGATCTTCAGCCATGACGACTTAATGCCATACTTGTAGAATCTGAGGAAATAAGCATTCAATAAAGCAAATGCAACGATTTAGTTGAATTTGTGCGACGAAACAAAATTTTTCAATGCATTTATCAGAGAATATGTGAACAAACAGCTCCCAACGTCCATATAATCTATTCTAAAAATATAATTAGACTATTTCCAGCTTGAGAATTTGATTTGATTTGCTAATAACGGTTTTCTTCAAGAGTAAAGTTAAATTAGCAAGTAAATTTTGTAAGAATTTCTGTAATTTTGTACAAAATTCTGGTGGTGGTTTCTTATTTCACACCGTTGTGATAAATCAGGACTGACTATAGAACAAGTTAGAGCGCCTATCAACATTTATGACACGGAAATATTGGTATTTATTGGAGGCCGAATTGAAATATTTTTTCAAAGACCAAGATGATACCTTTCTTCCAGACTGTTCGGGTCAATATCAAGATTCTCCTTCTTGCGGCGTCTGCTGGAAGAAGCAACGTCATCGTCATCATCCATCCCTGGTATGGGAGGCTCGTCAGGGTCGCACTTCTTGAAGTACGACCTTAGCATCTGGAAGAATTCATCATCAATTTTTGGACACGGTCGCGATCCAGCAACATCTAAGTTAAACATAATAAAGTTAAGTGTGACAACAAAGTTTTACCTAACGAGCTTCACCTTTCATTTTAAGAACAAAATAAACCTAATAGGTACAAAAACGAGTTTGTAATATGCTCTTGTCCTGAAAATGAACTCTCTTATTATTATCGTTGAGTGAATTTTTTAATGTAATGAATCATGAAATCAATGATACAGAGATTTGCCCGAATACAAACTAATAGATGATAGTTTAGCAGCAAAACGGTTGCAAGGCTGGAAACTCACCTGCGGGTGGTAGACTTCAAGCTGCATCTCACTGATCCAGGAGCAGTGCCAGTACGACATGTCCTGCCACTTCACGAGGAACTCGCGCAGCTGTTTTAGGTTGTACTTCTCAGCCTTCTCTTCACCAACATTCTCCTTCCAGTTGTCTGGTGGTTTGGGACTATCCACAAACCTAAGGGTTTGAGAAAACATGATAAATGATAAATCAAACTATCAAAAAGATTATTCGCCATATCTGAACAAATAATGTCCTAAAAATTTCCGTAGCATGTTTGCTCTATCAATGGATAAAAGCTTCCACCAAGAAAGATCCCTTTAGAATGAGTTTTAAGTAACCTCTTAGGAGCGAGGTTCGTATATCAAAGAGCACTGCTTTTAATGCATCAGCAAGGCTTCTTCTGCACGACATACCGTGTGATTAAAATGAACACAAATTGCAATAAATCCGAATGTGTGATCTTCAATTTTATAAATATCCAAGAACGATACGTCATAATTAGCAAGATAAATTATGCGTTCTGCTTATCTGTTAATGATATCAGGAATGATCTAATTTTACCTCCAGAAGAGAATTTTCTGGACTTTGCCCGGCAGAGGATCACAAGCACATCGGTGGCAAGTCCAGTCTCCAGAAGTAGCCTCAAAGATCGGAGGATTAAGACACCACATGTGGTAGGAGTTGGGGCACGAGTCACAGCAGATCAAGTCATTATTCTCCTGCAAATTTAAAAGTCATTCATGAGTGGAAACATCGATACTGGTTTCAAAATTGGGGCAGTAACAGAAGATAATAATCTCATGGGGAATTCAATCATTAATAATAATTACCATGAAAAAGTTTAAAAGCATCTAATCATGTTCATCCATGGTATTTCTAATTGAAAAAACTCTTACAAGAAAATCACCGTCCTTAAATGTGCGGCATGTTATGCTCCACAAGCTAAGCAATAAAATTGCACCAATGTTTTTTTTCTTGTAAACAAGAATGTGTTTTTTTTGTAAACAAGCCTCAAGTTCACAAAAACTAACCAAACACAACCTCCAAATCACAAAAAACGACATTTACAACCTTGCAAATTTTGCAGAATTCATTTTTCTGTTCATCTTCCTTGTCATCCTTGACACCATCAGCCTCGCAGGAGGGGCAGGACCACTTGCCCTCAGGTGCCGTGTCCAGCTCAGGCTCGAGGCACACAAGATGGTAGGCGCGTGGACACGTGTCGCACAGGATGATCTCACCGCCTTGCTGGCATACTTCACAGTAGTCCTGTACAATCAATATTGATCACTGAATGATAGCAACTTTCAATTCATTCGTTGTTACCTTATGCAATTCAAGATACTTTCAATTATCCTCATATACGAGAATGCAAAGACAATTTTTTTTGGAAAATCTCTTTGAAAAGTTTTCACTCTAAGGCCAGCAATTTAATACCCTGCCTTGTTGTGTCAAATTTCAAAAGAAGGACACCATAATGATCTCATACATAATATCTTTACTATTCTTGCTGTAGGAGTTTCCTTAGCTATGAAGACATGTTAATTTGAACGTTAAACGACACTAGTGCACTGATAAAGCATGACTTAATCACGGGGGTTCACTCAACAACGGCTAACCTGGTGGTCGGTTTCATAGCCATCCTGATTACTGGACTTCTTCTTCTTCTTGGTTCTCTTGATGGCAGCTTTTCCTTTTTTCTTGGTGCGCGCGCCATTGGTCTCAGCTTCATCCTCCTGCTTGTTCATGTCCTCGGCCTCGGCTAGCATTTGCTCAAACTCTGCATCGCTATCCTGGTATGAAGAGTCGTCCTGTGGTAATAAAAATTAAAATTTCTCGTGGTTTATGCTAATATAAAGATAATCTGCTAATTTCACCTGGGCAAATTCCGGCAAGTGGGGATTTGAAATTACTCTGAACTTGGGCTATTGCCCCAAAAAGAGTCAAGTACTCACTGAGCTATCTTTCTTGCGCTTGCCAATTTTAATCTTGAGAGTGGGCACCTTGGCCTTCTTGCTGGACTTGTCCCCGCGCTTGCGGCCACGCCCCTTCTTCTTGCTCCCGCCGCTGTCGCTCTCATCCTCGTCATCTTCCTCCTCATCTTCGTCGTGACGAGCCTTACGAGGGCGGCCGCGCGTCTTGTTGCTTGATGACTGAAAAGCATTACACATACAATGAAGGATCTGAAGACGTTGAATAAAAAATTAATATGCTGCAAGCATCTCTGTTGATCATATGTCTAAATCTCGGCCCAAAATTATAAATAAACAGAAAAAAAATAATTACAAAATAAGCCTGAAAATGTGTTCAAGTCTAGTCACCTTTCCTTGCGTATTGGACTCATCCTCGTCCTCTTCTTCTTCCTCCTCCTCTTCCTCTTCCTCCTCTTCATCTTCCCCCTCCTGCTCAGGTTCTTCAAACTGCTGAGCTTCCTCCTCGCCTGGCAGATCCTCCTCCTTTTGGCTGCAGAACGCGCGCCACTTCGCCGCCACAAGCATCATCAACTTCGGGGCTGGAACCTATGGGATAAGATATCAGTAACCCATCAAACTTGCACTTCAATGCGGCCCAGACAAGATTAAAAATCTCCTTATCCATAATCTGGTTATACAGAAGGTATTGATAATTTCAAAATTATAATATAAATAATTAGGAGAAAAATTTAACTGCAGTTAATGTAGAATCCCCATGAAAATTTCTGCTTCAAAGTTTGAACCCATTTTACTACACTTTGAACAAGCAATATAAGCGATATTTTCTGTTAATAACTCAACAAACAACAATAAATAATGATCTGTATTGAGAATAAAAACAAATTTTGAACCCTCCCACCTGTTTCGTAATGCCTCAAGATTTCAGGTCCAGGTAATGTTCCAAACAATTGGTATGATATATAGTATGGGAGGTAATGGCCCAATATATTCACATGACTATGATAATGATTAACACAAACTTTCATACAACACTTCTGCAATGCACAATATATTATCCATTATTATTAATTACAGTTTTCATCAGATTTATTGATGATTTGATGCTGAGATTGCCCTAGATATGTTATTCACAGAAAGAAAAAGCCAAATGCTAATGAAGCTTTATATTTCAAGGCTTACATGTACTGACGTTAAGTATACCATACACTCTGTACCTTGGGATTATCTTTGGCAAGAAGAGGCCTGATGTGCTGCTGGAAGAGCTTGAATGTGGTGAGGGACGAGTAGTCCTCAGGAGAATAGTCAATTTCAACATCCTTCAGGCCAAAACTCTCACACACTTCAGCAACCGTGGGCATGTCATCATTGGTAGCTATAACAAAAATGTTAATTTAGGGTCAAAAACTTGTAGAAAAGCTAAAACATAGAAAATGTTGAGATAAAATCACTTATATTTGAATTTCTGTCATAAAGCAATAATGAAATGATTTAAATTTGTAAGGTTGTAAATTAAATTCTAGAAGACACCTTCAGCGGGTTCATTTTCCTCATGTGGATGTTTCAAACATTAATGAACACCAACAATTTAAAAAAAAAAAAGAAAAGCAAAATTAAAATCAATAGAAAACACCATGCATGAAACCATCTGACAAATTAGCAGCTCGATCTAGCAATCCTTCATGGAATGATCGAGGCTATCTTTCATGTAATGAAGGGCAGCCTTCATTACAGCCTTGATGAGCAATTTATTTTAGCATTTATGTTATTCCATAATTAATTGTGAAATTGGCCATGTCACCACTGTTTGAAAACTCAACTGAGATTAAATATAATATTCATAATCCAACCCCATCCCCTATATAATATTCACAGGAGATAATATATCATATAAATAAAATATAATACCAACCATCAGAGTGAGCTGCCGGTGCAGCAGATGATGCAGCAGCAGGTGTTGCAGTAGCGCGGCTCCTGGCTTTGGCTCGGCTGCGGGACTTGCTTGCCTCGCCATCCGACTCCTGCTCAGCATCATCCTGGGCTTCTGTTTCCTGTGTGCAAATACAGACAAATAGATCAAAAACACTTATTTGTAATGCTTACACAGCATGTAAATTAAGTGTGGAAAATATTTCTGTAAAAAGCTTGGTTGGCAACTGTGTAAAAATGAGAGATGTCAATTGGCATCATGAACTAATATATTATAATCAATAAATAAGAAGTATAATAATAAGGAATAAATGTTGTTGATGCATTCAACCACCACACAACAACCAAGATTGTGCTTGCCAAATCTCCACAGTGCTGAAGCAATCACCTGCCACTACCATTTGAAAAACATTCCATGGAAAAAATATTCATTGCTTGCTACTTACACTTTCACTTCCAGGCTTCCTCTTCTTCTTCTTTCTTCCTCTTTCACTTCTTGATGATTTACGCTTCTTACTCTTCTTCCTCTTGCGCTTAGAACTTCCACCTCCCCCCCCTCCTCCCCAATCCTCATCCTGATCCTCGTCACCTGAGTCACCCTGGGCTTCAACATCATCGTCCTCCTCGTCTCCATCATCTTCTAGAAAACACATAGGAAATAATTATGGCAAAAGTCAAATGTTTATAAACTGAAAATTTGTTTTATGCTGTAAATTTCCTGGACAGATGTCATTCCTTGATCAAGTTTAGCATTTCAAAACAAACTTGTATGAAATCTATGATATAATTATTTGAAACAGTTAATGGATTCTCAAATGATAATTACAGCTTTTGTAATTTTCCAAAAATAAATCTTATTTTCACACAAAAAAAATATATTGTCAAATCAATTATATATGTTGCCTGCCAGACCATCAATTTCTGATAGACTTTTCTGTCAATGTCCGTGGGTAGAACTTAATTCATCCTGTTTAAACTTTGGTATCATTTGCTAATAGGCAAATTATACAAGTACATTTTATTTAGAGCAACTATTACCTTGCATTTTTATTGGAGACTATGCTTAATATCCAAAGGTATGCAAAACATTAGGGCACACAAAATTTTTTTTCATGTTAAGGATCTTGCCCACTAGAAAGTTTTATTTTGACAAATCATGATTTTTCCAAAAATGAGGCATATCAGATGATAATTAGGCATGCCTAAAGAGCACCAAAGTTTGAGTATTTGTTTGATGAAACACATCAAAATGAATAAATATCAAACTTTTAGACCTAATAAGTTAATCATTTCTTTTCCAGAAATGCGATTATTGATTTTTACTTGTCTGTGATGCACTAACTACATGTAGGTATGTTAGTATGGTATATGATGCATAAAACATTAATGCTTGCCAAACTTTCATTTCAGTGGATACACCATACAGTGGTCCTAACTTAGCAACTTCTGAAATACCTATGATCTTCTCAACCCTCATCATGCTGGTTCAGATAACTGTGTCCCCATTTAGTTCCTAGCCATGAAAAAATAATTCTGACAACATATGAGCACAATTGAACTTTGAACAATATTTAGAGTTAGCTCAATTATGGTGAAGTTTCCCATAGCAAGGCCATTAAAAGCCATAGTAATTGAAAATTACAGAAATACATCATAATGATCATTGTTGAGCTACAGCCTACATTAGTTACCCCTATTCTATTAATAAGTACCTAGGAACTTTCCACTCTAGAAAATGTGCCCAAGTTTATAGTTTGGACTTTGGATAGGTAGGTCCTACGGTATTATTGCAGATTAACTACATCCAAAAAAAAGGGTGTTTTTTTTTTTGAATTATATGTTTTTTGGGGTGTAGATTACGAATCTGAAATCCATTTTTGGCGGTCGGCATCGGAAAACCGATTTTTTTCGCGACTTACTAACATGGGGTCAGGGCTGGAAAAGTCCTATTTTGTCTGAAATATCGCGGCTCTAATATCATATAATATCAGTAGGTATGAAATCTCGCGGCTCAAATGTCACAAATTTTTGTTTGATTGAAAAATTGTGGTTTGCACTTCAGAAACGTGTCATTTCATAAAATTTTCAACTTCCGCAATCCGCATTGCTTTACCGTTCCAGCCAAAATATCCTGCAAAAAAAAACATAAACATCGTAATCATCGATGTAATGTAAACAAATCAACAAAACGTTTTGTTGAAGATCGCGCATAGTTGCGGGCATGTCAAAGCGGTCAGACTGCAGACTGCTATTAAAACATGCTCAACTTACAGTAAAGACAATTTTTAATGTTGCCATTTGACTGTTTTAGGGTATAATTAGAGATTTGGGGTAACACGTGCATGGAGAATCATGAGAATGTAAATAAATTCCCGCCTCGTAAATGGCTTTTCATGGCTGAGATATGGAATTCACGGCTTGGTGAAATGGATCACGGCTCAAAGAAATGGAATCACGACTGGCAAATCCATAAAACCACGGCTCAAAAAATTCAGTCGCGGCTTGCCAAGTAGATATATTCCATGCCTGATCTGCAATAATACCGGTCCTACTCCTAGCTACCTTTAGATCAACAATTCAACAAAGAAGATGGTAAATCTAAGAAATATGATAAAATGTCTATAGGCTAGCTAACAAATCCAGATTCCAGATTAAAAGAAAAATTTAAATATGAAAATAATCGTCATAGTTTCATTTTTATTTTATCCACATTCTAGTGCATTAGATAGCATATTAACAGAGTTACAAATCAATAATCATAATTTAATTAGATCAATTAAAAAAAATTAAACTAGGTACTGTCAAGTGTCAAGTAGGCTAAATAGTAGAAGTTGAGGACTTGAGGTATAAACGCAAGCTCATGTTGAAAAGACTTAAATTGATGCAATATTCAAAAAGATTTTGCTCAAGAACAATAAAATGATGCTTTATTAAATTTTGATAAGCTGAACTAAAACGTTTTTTCTGCAAAATTGCACTCAAAACATTCGACAACACGCCATTTTTGCCGCTAAATCTATCAACAATCATGATAACTGTCTAACTCACAGCCTAACTTAGCATATTAACAAAAAGAAAAGTTATATAAACTTACTTGACGGGTCATTCTCTTCTTTATCAGACATCTCTTTCTTCGATTATTTATAACAATAATAACATCTATCAGAGCTGTAATAGATACAATTTGAACCGCCGTGACTTGATTTGCTTGCACAGCCGCCGAACGCTACGATAACTTAGCATCAATGCTGTCGAAGAGCTCAAACGCGTACGATCATCCAAACAAAATAAATGTACTATGAAGAAGCGCCACCTAGCAGTAAAAACCTAAGCTAAGAAATCAGTTAGCCCTCCAGCGACGAGCTACCTAAAACCACATTACATCCATACCACATCGCTGAAATTTATTTATTGAAAAAACTTGCCATGAGACAAAATCATCCAACTGGGCATGGCACAGCCTGAATCTATAGACAATTTATTTGACTAATTGAATAAGTGAGCTTCATATGTAAACAAAATGCCCGTGGGGTTCACTGCGAATTTTTGACAGTTTGACAGTGCAACTCTGAAACGAAGGCCAATCGAAAAAAAAATGATCTCGACCTAAACATCACTGTTAGGTCTTATTTGACAGGTGCGCGAAATTTCATCGAGCCGCGTTCACTAGTTTGGGAGATATTTCAGGCTCACTGAATCTTGTGGACCAGCAGCTAGTCCGGCCGTAAAAGTGTCCAACAGGTATTCCAAATGGACTTTCCGTTTCAAGGGTCGGTCTACTTCTACTTAGTAGCAGTCCAATTCATGGTTGTGTATTAACTCAACCATGATTCAATTGTTGTGAATCCTACAGCCAATATCGCTTTAATTATCCTCATTTTCATAAAAACGAACCTACTAGTGCTTCATGATCGGCGATATAAAAACAACTTATTTCATGACTGGTCAAGTATCCATTACACACTTTCTATTGAATCTCAAAGTTTCGTTTTCGGATCCGCAGGGACGAAACCGTGGGCCACTAATTTAGCAGAATGACCCAGGCACACAATTGCGGTATGGGGGAAATGATGTAGCGGATCTCGCTACACAAAACTAAAATTTATGTATAATATATCTCGCTACCTAGAACTAATACTATGTTCATATTAATGTTAATTTTTATGTTCACATTAATATTAACACTTACTGACTTACCATATTAGGTTATCACATTAAATAATTATAAAATCGTCGTAAGAATATACATATGCGAACCGATTCAAAATGTATTGGACTTGATGTTTTTATACTGTTTTTATTTTGTTTTTATTTTATCAATGTTAGAGTACTTTCGCGACAAGACTCCGTTGGTTAAAAACCGAAAACAAATAATTGTTTTTCACTATAAAATACTATGTAGCAAATAGGCCTTACAAGCCTGAACGTTTAAATTTTGCTAACAGAGACCATAGTGAGCTCCGGATGCAACGGGTGCAGCAAACAGTTTGAACAGTATTATAGACATGAATGTTGCTAAGTTGTGGTCCCTTCGTAAGGCGAGGGTTATGTATGCAGTGCTAGGAAAGTGCGTAAGTAAAATTCGGTTTAGTGGATGCAAAATGAAACGGTGGATGAGCAGTGCAGAGCTAATAACCAAAAACGAAGCCTAACAACGTTATCATAGTGGTACAAATTATCGTTATACAAGTTAGATTGAAGACTAGAGACCACAAGTTATAATTTTATGCTCTTTTTCCGAATTAAGGTCGTACATTATTTTTTGTTGGCGTGGATGTATTCAAAATCACAGGTCACTGAAAGAGTCTACCAACGATTTTTGATCTACCAATGCCAACCGAAATTTTTGTTATTAATTATTGTAATCCTTGAAAAAAAACTAATTTTCAGCACATATCATCTGATGAGGGCGAGGTTGTTATGAATCGGTTCGACGGTTTGTTAGTAACGTCTCAGTAGATGAGGACTTAGTTAACAGAATTCATTGGTTGTGAAATAGAAGAATAATAGATACTCAAGAACCTGATAGCTTTGAATCCAAGTCTGTCATGTGGACCTGTTGGCTTCCACCCAATTTACTGATAGAATTGGCAGAGAAATTTGAAAAAAATGAATAAGTCGAAAATGCGCTACAGGGATGATTCCAGGCTGAAAGGAAAAGTCTTTTGAAGAATGACTAGAGCTTACGAAGCTTGCAAGTCTTTGTCATCACGTCTCCATAGCGACCTCTTTGGAATATATGAGTATTTCGTGGTTCCGGAAGGAAAACTATAACATGAAACAACAAATACCAGAACCAACTAAAAAACTGCGAAGTAAGATGTAACTAATCTATTAGAAAACACTTTTTCGTGTTTTGTGTAACCATCACATTTTGAGCAGACTTATATGTTTGTATCTTTGATTACTCCTAGGAATTAGTTGGAACAGATAAGGTAATGTTTAGACTAAATGTGATACCCTTCTCACATACCTTGGAGCCGTAAAATCAAAAATAGCTACGACTTAGTAAGTTCGCTAGCCATGGAGGGAGGATCAGGATCTTCTCAAGCTTAAAGCTTAGATCAGCGAAAGATATCCTCTGACGAGGGCAAAGCTAACGTACTTGATCATTTCTTCAGTAGCGTATTCAATGAAGAGGACTTGAACAGTATTCCAGCTATAGAGGAGCGCCCAGTCGGCTCTAAATTAACAAGCTTTGAAATACAAGAAGAAGAGGTTCTCAAGCGCCTTATCGCTGTAAATCCAAACAAGTCATGTGGACCAGACGGCTTCCACCCCAGATTACTTGCAACAGGCCATGGGCCTATTTCTTCAGCGCCGACACTTCTATTCTATTCTTAACCCACCAATCATGAATGAAAAATCGGGCGCTACGTGTGCCTGAGGGAATTTTGATAGTGAATGTCCAGTAGCTACTATTTTGGAAAAATGTTTTTAGATATCCGTGATACCAGTCATGAATCTAACCAAAATCGGCAACAGACCTCAATTTGGCCTATTTTTCAACGCAGATACCACTACGCTGGACGCACATGCGTGATCTGATCTCACATTGCCCCGGCTCTCCAACTTCACAGTAAAGGATTGATTGGTCTTAAAGGATAGAACCGTGAATGATCAGGTGATGCTTAAATGATGAAAATTTCAAGAAATTCCCTCAAATTTTTATATTAAGATACTCGATGTAATCGCTACGCAAAGAAATATTCTATACAAATTCTTTCAGGATTTCATGACTCAATCTTCACAACATTTCTCGAGTCTCCATCAGAACCGCACAATAGAATGGCGGGTGAAATTCGTCCCTTGGAGCTGAAAATCGACTTGAGGTTTCTCTGTGACGTACGCAAGTCTTCAGATCATCCAGCATTTAACTGTGTTCCAACAAAACTGTTATTTAAATTTTGAAACCTAAATACACAACAAAACGTTTAATACAAATCATCAATAGTAGGAAAGGAGAGCAGTTAGTAGGGCAGAAAAACAAATGCTTCATATTACTCATTTCATAAAAATCAAGTTTAATATATATCCCTGTGAAATGATGGATCAAAATCATGCTGCTGACATAAAGTTTGTTCATTCAACTATATCAAGTATTCACAAAGCCTATAAGGTTACAGATTTCTTATTTACAATTTTCAACAAAGTAGGAATCCGGTTAAATGGTCATAAGCGTAAGAGGCCTTCGCTCGGATCGAAACATTGTCCGTGAAGACGTGACAAGAAACAAGAACCTCTGTGAGGTGACACCTCATAAATACACACGGGACCTTTAAACGCGTTTATATTAACAATATCGCGGCGAGATTACAATAAGTAGGTAATTTCGAGTCGTTGAAATAACTCCTTAGGGCAAGCAGCTGAGTCGAGAGCTATAGTGTTACTTGTAACTTCAACGGCTCCAAACTAACTCGAGTGTCTTCGGATGCAATTGCAAGCATCGACAGTATATAGATGGCTCATAACACATATTTTACTGGCATTTTACGATCCAATCCAGTAACTCATGCAATTCATGCGTTGCTTCCGGCAGCATGACTGTCCTTAGGTTTAGACATGAGGCCTCCTCACAGCAGGTTACGAGTTGCGTATCTTGATACGCCGGATAGGTTAACAATGAGCAGCGTAACTTGATGTGAGATCTCAAATTAAAAAGAAACGAGTTGCCTAGCTACTCGTATGTGTCCTGCCCCACGTCCGGAAACGAATGGTGTTCCCATAAGCACATCAGCGGTGCGTCATGAGCATCGTCTTCTTAACTCACATGGGATCTAACTGACATTTGAAATGAGTTCACTACAATTATCCTAGAGAGATCTAGTTTGCCACTACGAACCAAAGAAAGACTAGGAAATGACGAGCGAGATTCTGACTAGAGTAGTGAATCTAATAGCAAAAGATTGTAAAATATGCCTAGCTGGCGTCATTATTGCGGTAAGACTCTTCGTACAAGTTTATATAGCAGGAATTTGATCAACTGCTACTCAACAACGACTGAACATAATTGAAGAGGCAAGTCATGTTTAATATTGCTTCACACTTGAATACTTATTTGTATTTATTAAAGTGTAACTTACTACACTGACAGCCACTTAACTATTATCAATGGCCGCCACTAGGCAATCAAGACTTGAAGTCACTTAGTTGCGGTATAAAAGGAACGGTCTTGTTCAGACTTGAAACAAAGCCGAAAAAATTTAAACATTGTTGCCATGGAAACTGGGTTTCATTTTATCGTTAAACTCAATGATGAACATTACAGAGCTTCATGCTAACCTTCCTGGTAGATCAGCGTTGTATATATAGCCTTCTTATATTAGCCTTCATATAGGAAGGCTGATACAAATGACGTGCAGCCACACCTTCATATAGGAAGGCTGATACAAATGACGTGCAGCCACACCTTCATATAGGAAGGCTGGTACAAATGACGTGCAGCCATACCTTCATACAGGAAGGCTGGTACAAGTGACGTGCAGCCATACCTTCATATAGGAAGGCTGGTACAAATGACGTGCAGCCATACCTTCACATAGGAAGGCCGGTACAAATGGCGTACAGCCATACCTTCACATAAGAAGGCTGGTGCAAGTGACGTGCAGCCATACCTTCACATAGGAAGGCTGGTACAAATGACGTACAGCCATACCTTCATATAGAAAGGCTGATACAAATGACGTACAGCCATACCTTCACATAAGAAGGCTGGTGCAAGTGACGTACAGCCATACCTTCATATAGGAAGGCTGGCACAAATGACGTACAGCCACACCTTCATATAGAAAGGCTGATACAAATGACGTACAGCCATACCTTCACATAAGAAGGCTGGTGCAAGTGACGTGCTACAGCCATACCTTCACATAGGAAGGCTGGCACAAATGACGTACAGCCACACCTTCATATAGAAAGGCTGATACAAATGACGTACAGCCATACCTTAACATAAGAAGGCTGGTGCAAGTGACGTACAGCCATACCTTCACATAGGGAAGCCGGTACAAATGTTGCGTGCAGTTGCCCGCATTAAGTTTTCCATTGCAAAACAGAAGCGAGGTCGAGTTGTTATCTAATATTTATTAAATTACCGAGGTTTTGCTCATGTCAACACATCGCGCATGTACATCACAGAATGAAGTCACGCTGCACGAGTAATCTACAGTTATTCGACACTTGACGGATATATTATGATAATCTATTTAATATGTCAGCTCATTCACTTCCTGTGAATGATTAACAGATCGGGGTGGGAAGCCTTCGCATTACACACTAATAACAGGATCATAACTTACAATAATACTGATCAATACGTCAATAAATAAAGGGTCTCCTCTTATATTATGACCTGCACGTATAACTAAAGCAGGAACCGTGATCATACCACAGTTTTAATGAGAATACTTCAAGTTCAGAGACATCGTCGGAACAAGAGCGTACATTGTTCACTCTAGGCAGGCACCAAACTAACTCAGAGCCTATATCAGTAATTCCTAAACCAAAAAATGAAGATCGCAAATAAATACTGAAATTTTCCGCACAATATTAAGAAGCCGATTTAAATTATTCCAACCTTCAAGTAAGCCCGATTCTTTCCAGAACTAATTAATGTACCTGGAAATAAATAGAAGACGTTAAGCACAGACAGAGGAGTTGTTTCCACCTCTTCTCTTTATTTAAGAAATGAATCCACCCGCTGGAAGTGCCGGCTAAAATGAAACAATACAAGAGAATCAATGACCGCATAACAACTGAAGATAGTAAAGATTCGTATACACAGAATCGTATCCGGTCAATTTCTTTCTAATTTGAGGTAATATACATAACAGTATATACCTAACAGGAATGATTAATCCTGTTCATGGTATACTCTTAATGACCGGCAGTATCGGGAAGAGCAGATGTCATTTAATAAACACCGCCCTCATTTACATATCTAAGAATGTTATTATATATACATTGCCAGCATTGATTCTCAAATTCATCACGTTTCAAAATTAAGGTGTGAAATCGCCAACGTCAGATATGAGTAAGAAAACTCACAAATAAGACAAACACTTTCTCAAAAGGCCTAACAGATCGTCTTTTTATAGTGCTTCAGCCAGCAAATTAAACGATTAACACGGCCCAACTCCTCAATTTTGTAATGCAGCAGAAGGAGCAGTGATAATAAAATCTTAAAGGTTGAAGGCGAATCCTGTTAAGCAGACTGTAGCGTGCGGGCTCCTGTAACGGTTGGACGTTACAAGACCGGCAGGAACGTCCCGGTTACGTACGAGCGTCCGCCGCCTGGACCACGCCCTCTGCTCTCCCAGGTTGCGGTCGTAAAATCATAGCTTTATTTCCCCAGGAAATTTACAATCGCCGTAAAAATTTAGGGTTTTCGCGGCAGTATATTTCCATTTGCGACGCCGACGTGAGATGGCGGAGAACATTGTGAGGTCTTGGGCGAGTTCTCTCAGAAGTCGCCGTCACTGGAGTTGCCGGTCACCGGAGTCGCCGGTCATTAAAGTCGCCATCACTGCAGGATCATCTGGGTTTACGGCGGCAGGTCCTGGAGATCCTGCGCTGCCTGTGAATGAGGTCGTAGAGCTGCTCCAAGGCGACGTCCAGCCCTTCACCCGTCACGGCGCACGCAGGCTGCAAAAAAAAACAATGCCTCATAATATAAACGTTTATTGCATATCGTTCATATTAAAGTTTTAGATCAGCCTACCTTCTGTAGAATAATCAGTCAATTTCTATGCTTGCAGCTGTTATCAGCGTACACTAAACAGCCCAATAAGCAACGGTCGCGTGTGTCGTGCCGAGCCCCTGGAAATACGCGCGTGTCAACAGCCTACACGTCACCGCTGCCACGCGGCCAGCACTGCGTCTGTGCGAGAAGCGCTCACCACGAGTGCTGAACAACAGTAGACGGCAGAATTATCAGTGAACAACAGTCAACGGCAGAATTATCAGTGAACAACAGTAGACGGCAGAATTATCAGTGAACAACAGTCAACGGCAGAATTATCAGTGAACATGCAGTCTAGTCAAGGGCAGCATATCAGACAACGATTACGATGCCAGAAGTTTAGCGATGATCTCGATATGTAATTGGTGCGAACTCGTTTAGCGATAAGCGTCAAGTGACTGAAAGTTATTTATAGAAAACGCAAAACCGTAAATGTTTAGAGCTCAATCAATTGAACTAACCAATTAACGGCAGTTCACTGATTAATTTACAATGGATGGGCTTGTGTAGTTATATAACAAGACCGCCTGCTCAGGCAGGTGCTATAGGAAAGTCCTCTTCTGTATGTCATTGCAGACTTCACGGAATGTATATACCCATTTACACAACTGTGTCTAACATAATTATTGCATAGCGTACTTGTCTGGATATAAACCATGTACAATGACAAGCAGAATACAAACTCATGGTCAATTTTAAATAATAACTTCGTGAGATTGGAAGAGAATGTGGGGACAAGTTTTGAATTTCCATTAAATGGAGTAAAATGATTGCTGGGATTTTAGTTTGCTGGAACCCTTGCATGGTAAATGCATAAATGCTATTCTAGCACACACCGGCAATATCCATCGTATATACATACGATATTTCTATTGATATTTTACGCTAGTTGACACGTCGTATGTTGCATGTCTGCATATTATTTGCGTACAGAATAACTTTTTACCCGAATCGAAAACTTCGAAAATACTAGCGAGGATAAAACCTTGAACATTTTGTACGTTGTAAAATGAACATTTAATGAAATTTACAAACACAAAATTTTCATCAAATTAAAACTGACTTTCAAACACGAAAAGCAAGTTTTTCGATCTTTTCTTGCGCCTTTTAATTTATAGCTTGCTATTAAGCTTGTTATTTTATATTTCGCTTGCTATAATGGAACATGGTGCCCTCGAAGTTCGTTCGAACAAGACGCCACGATAATCGCTCCGTAGAATTATAATAATAATGAGGTTTATAATAAGACTTTAATTAATTAACTTCACTTTAGTAGAATAATCATAATGATCTCAGAAAAGACGTTTAGGGATTATAAAATCTCAGTGATTATCTGACGTCTGCGTGGGGAACTCATTGAAGTATACAAGTATACTCATGGCTTATACAAGGTCCCAGAAGGATTACCAGAATTTGAAACAAGAACCAACACCAGGGGCCACGGCTATAAACTAAAAACAGCGTTGGAACACATCCATGCGACAACATTTCTTCTCGCTTCGAGTCACCGACATGTGGAACAGCCTCCCTGATAGCATCGTTGAAGCTCCGAGTATGAACATCTTCAAAAACAGACTAGACGAAGCTATGCAGGAGCATATGTTCAGTCTTAAAATGCCTAGCAAATTACGGACCAGGCAATAAGTCCAGCAGCTATCTCAATCAATCGTCAGTTATGGAAAGATCGGGTTCCAAAGGCCGGATCCCTTGTGAATCAAGTCACGAAAAATTCAAGAATCTGCAACAGGCCATGGGCCTATTTCTTCAGTGCCGACACTTCTATTCTATCTTGCAGAACCGCGCAGCGCACGCTAAACAACACTAGTCGCCATGTCGTAACCCCACAGACCTGGACGTGCCAGAGGCGGTTGGTCCCTAGCTCGGCGACGCCCAGCAGGCGCGCGATGTGGGCGCCGTCGCGGGCGCCGGGCAGGTCCTGCTTGTTGGCCAGCACCAGGATAGGCACCTGCAGCCCACGTGAACCATCATTTAGCAAGCTTTTTACATTACCTTCTATTACACTACTTGTAAATGTTGTAATCTTGCGTTAAAGGCAGGTGTTGCAATTATCTGGTCTGCATCGTAAGTATCACAAATATCTTGTCTTAATGCAGATGTTAAAATTATATTGTCTTAAGTGCAAGTGTACAGACTATATTTTCATACGTACAGGTAGTGTCATTATCTTACCTTCTGTGTTGTATTCTGAACTGATTGATCCAACGGGAATTCTTGTAAATTAGAGAAATTTGCATAGTTGAGCATTCCTGAATACGGGCATAACAATCAATGAAAATTAATGAGGGATGACATAATGAACGTGCGCCAAACGCTGAGACCCTTGCCTGGGAGTTCTCTGGTTGTCTGGCCATCTTGTAGAGCTCGCACTTGCCTGGGAGTTCTCANAATTATGAGCTGCAACACGTAGGAGTTACGTTATGAACTAAATCATGAGCTGCAACACGTAGGAGTTACGTTATGAACTAAATCATGAGCTGCAACACGTAGGAGTTACGTTATGAACTAAATCATGAGCTGCAACACGTAGGAGTTACGTTATGAACTAAATCATGAGCTGCAACACGTAGGAGTTACGTTATGAACTAAATCATGAGCTGCAACACGTAGGAGTTACGTTATGAACTAAATCATGAGCTGCAACACGTAGGAGTTACGTTATGAACTAAATCATGAGCTGCAACACGTAGGAGTTACGTTATGAACTAAATCATGAGCTGCAACACGTAGGAGTTACGTTATGAACTAAATCATGAGCTGCAACACGTAGGAGTTACGTTATGAACTAAATCATGAGCTGCAACACGTAGGAGTTACGTTATGAACTAAATCATGAGCTGCAACACGTAGGAGTTACGTTATGAACTAAATCATGAGCTGCAACACGTAGGAGTTACGTTATGAACTAAATCATGAGCTGCAACACGTAGGAGTTACGTTATGAACTAAGTCATGAGCTGCAACACGTAGGAGTTAAGTTATGAACTGAATCACCCGTGCCTGAAAAGTATTGCTTAGAGACCCGTGACCTCGAACGTGATCTGGCACAAACCAGCAGCGCAAGCAAACTCGCTGGCCACTCACCTTAGCTTTACCGGTGGCTCCTCGTATTCTTTCGCAATTGAAGCCAATTGTGGGCACTGTGTGGAGATATTGGTCAAACTTGAGGCGATATAAGGCCGTTGATTTGCCTGACGAGTCAAGACCGAGCATGACGATGTGTAGGGTTCCCTGACCACGGCTCAACACGTCCAGGATGCTGCCGCTGCTACCAGCGCCTCGACCAGACGACCACTTGCCGTGTCCAGACGGTCCAGCATTCTTGCCTTCACCGATAGGGCTCCCTTCCCCAACCTCACGTGCTTCTTCTGGGGTAGTAGGCCCCAGTATGCGGGAGCCCTGAGACTCCTTCGAGGAATGCACAACCCCAAATCCCCCATCGGAGAGGCTGTGGGTGTCGGCATCTGCCGCGGCCGCCGAGCGGCAGCAGCAGCAGCACGCGCTGTTGCCTATCTTTCTGGCCTCACCACCTTACACTTCAAATTTTGCCAGCTCTCGGCTGGACGCTTGAATGCATCTATATATATAAACCTAGCACTTTATTAACATCTTGTCCTTATAAAAGTCAGCGACTGGGACAGATACACGTGACTAGCGCTTCCATAGAACATGCATAGAATTTTAGAAAGCGCGAGCAAAAGACACCTAAAATTTCATAGGCATCTAATGCCCACATTTTTCAAACTTTAATAAATCCTGAAAATACATAGTATATAATTAATCGCTTTTAGAGCTCTTAAAAATATTTGAACGTTTATGGTAGCTATTTCATTAACTATTCAGTTCGCCGTTATTTCGTACTCGTTGACGACGTAAATTGTTTTCTCTGGAACTTATTATTCAAATATTGTCGATACAGATAATCTAATGTAATAGCCGCCGAGAATTGAGCTAGTAAGCTTTTTCGTGCCGCAATACCAATAACACTACAGTTCCGAACATCAGAGACTCTTACGACGAACCTAACTGACTAACACTTCACTCAGCCGTTTGGAGGGAAAAAAATTTCAAAATAAAAATATATTTTAGTAGCAGATAATCCCATTTGAAAATTTGCAGAAATTAGCTTTATATACAAAAAATTTTGGGGGAAATAATATATATTCACTTTTAGCTTTACTGCACTTATTGCACAATAGTCTGAATAGAGAAGTACACAGATTTCGTTTTCGATCGTTACCTGTTCGGCTGAAAACCGATCGATAATCAATAATAGACACATGCTGTCGCTGACGATTCCACCATGCACGCAGAACCTGAAAGTTGAAACTATTCATTCAAGTCTGATACTACGGCATATACAGTCACAAACTTGTCTTACTCAGTCACTCAGGATTGATAACAATAATTATTTTAAGGAAATTCGGATTCAATACCATACTTGGAATCATCATCCAGTTGGAGTCAACAACCAGTTAAACACACTTTCATCGATTGAAAATCACTCCTTTTACTGTTAAGGTTCACAAAAATCATTACGCTTCTTGGGACGAACGTAAGTCAACAATTAAATCTGCCTGCATCAGCCCGCAGCACTTGATACCCAACACCACCTCGGACGTTTCGATGGCAACTGATTCATTGAAGATGAGAGCACGAGGGCGGACTGAGGGAAAGAGAGCTGCAGCGAGAGATTGCGTTCATGAGAAGTAATTAAACTTAACTTTACTTGACGACGGTGAAAAGAAAATAACTATTGAAAATAATATATAAAGAATCATTATAAAAACAATTAGGACTTTCAAAATTTGGGAATTTATTTATAAAACGTTAGTACAGATTTCATATATCGATATATATGAGTCTCACTTTAGCATTTCAAGCGATTATTTCACATACATCAAACTATAAGGTTTAATATTGGAACATTATTCAAATTCATAAGCGGTATTTTCGTTCATTCAAATTGGTTAGCCTATGGGCAATAAACAGCGCGTTTCATAAATAGAGTTGTTGTTTAAAACGCAGCTATGTACATTACCGTTTCACGTGCAGTTGTCAACTACACGCCTACCTTTCACAATGAAAATTTGCTCACTTATCACGCTTTAGTGAACTACATTTTTAACCGAGGGCACTCTTTTTAACTGTCCTATACTGTTTACGTTATGGTGCCTTGTATATATGATGATAACGATATCAATGCTATAAAGATGTTTATGCATTTGTATTCTTTAGCCAGATCGTATATGTGGTTTTACGATAACATCGATAAAATGTAAACGAACCAAAATAAAAGATAAACCTATAGATATTGCTTCATTAAAAAATCAAACAAAAATCCATTAAATTTATCTTGTTTTTTGAAATGTAATCGAATACACGAAATTTTACCTGCTAGCTTATGGCTTTCACGTTTTTATTCAAAAGCAGTACGTGGCAACTCCGACCGAACCCCAAATTTATTAGTAAATCCGAATCGATCTCTGACGAGGTTTAAGTTCGATTACTAATTACTTTGTACATATCGCGATATCGGGAACGACAGCATGCACAACAATGTCAATCTTGTCTAAAAAATCTCATGAAGACTCTCAAAAAATTATTTTCAAGTGTTTTAATTGTGAATTTAGGACCGAAAATCATCTCCCATAGTGTGCTGTCTCAAGAAAATGTGTTAGTAGCGCATCAGCCCCGCCACACGAGAGTACAACTACAAGCAGGCTTCAGTCAAGACAGGGTGGCCCAGTGGTTACAGTTCAGTACCGAGACTGCAAACGTGAGGTGCGGGTTCAAGCTCACCTTTGTGCGTCAGTTTCTGGTCAGAATCGGCGAGGAGGCCGGGCGGTTTAAGCATTAGACAAACTTTTAGCAGTGAGTTGCGTGTTCAAGACCGTAGCAAGCTGAGAATGTTCTGCGATGTTAAGAATCGGTGACAGGCCTACGGCCGAATAAACGCTGAAACCGCTTTTATTTTTCAAGGAAACTTGAAGTCCTTTGCTAATGCCTTCAGTCACCATACTTAAAAAATTAATTATCATTTACCATATGGTCTTCATTCAGCGTCCATACTCTACTGTAGGATCGTAAAACATATGTTGACGATCTTGCATCAGCAGCCATAGTCGAATGTCAGACGACCATCTTACCCGACATGATTTTTGACGGCCCTTCATGGTGTTATATTATATATTTTCCTCCGTTATATTTTCCGCCATGGCTTGGTAATAGTGAGATAGGTATAATATAAATAGCTCTTCATAACTATCGGATCACATTCTGACCTGTTGTTTTAACGGTCTTCATCCTATTGCAATTTTCCACAATCGTATCATCATCTGACCTGAGAGGTTTGACAAATTCAGTCACTTGTTATAATTTATTCTTTCGTCTCGAACTAAGCCGACGCAAAAAAAAGAAATCATGGGCGCTGAGACATAAAAACCCCTCTTAAATCCCGGGCCTGAAACTGTCTGCGCCTATACAGTGGCCCATTGGGCCTCAACAACAAAATTTCAAGCTCATAATTAACGAGCCGACAAGGCGTCTTTATGTAGACTCGTTCAAAAACATTAGGAGACGCAGGGTGAGGTGTAGGAGGTAATTTCAGGGTGAAATAAATGAAAATTACGATTAGGTTTTTCATTTTTATTTGTAAAGGTTTGTGTTCTTGTCTTTGAATACATTCCATTAATATTTTGTCTATTTATCTCATGGCACAAAACATAATTGAAATAGATTTTTCTCGTCGCTCGATGATGAATATCAAGAGTGATAGTTTATGCATCAACAAATGAACAGAATAAAGAAATAATTATAAGATAACGTCTCCTGCCGACTCGGTTGTTCCGCTATCGCTGCACGTACGCCTCTATCTTCTCCTGAGGAAGAAGGGGCGACGAGTTAGGGGATTTTTAAAAATGCCAATCCCCGATACATGAACATGATAAGCGGTGTGTGGGGCAAACTTTACATTAATATAACTCTGAAACTTGTTCGAAGCAATGAGAAAAATTTGGGTGTGCACCGACACACTCGCCCAGTCATAAATATTCAGTATAAATAGAAAATTGCAAGAAGGAAAATTACACGGAAAATGTACAATGATTGACTGATCCCAAATATTACGGTAAACTAAAATTCAATTCGGTACATGTGAAATAAAAATAAAAAATAAATATTAACATTAGCAATTGATAAATAATTTAATTACCATTTATTGAATAAATATTGATTGCTAATAAATTACTGAATTTCACACCCAAATGAGAGGAATAAAAACCTTGATGGGGGCGATGGCGTCGACGGCGGCGAGGCCGAGGGCGCGCAGCAGCACGAGGGGCGGCGCGGTGCTGCTGTAGAGCTTCTGCAGGGCGTCGATGGCAGCCAACATGACCAGGTTCTCCCGCTGCCTGATGCGCTCATATTCGTACAGGCAGGAAGCTGAGCCTGCACAACTTTCACGCGATTATTATCAACATATTTATCTTATCATTGATAACTCAATCAAAACTTACTTTCTGTAACTTTCTTACTTACTCCTCATCTGCTCTACATATATAACTCTCATCAACATTTTTACAAAGACGAATGGTACTTCATTTTAATCAACGGGATGCATAATTCCTGTGGAGTCATGCCCACCACAGAAACACATAATAGAAATATTTGAAGGTCTGCGAACATTGAACTTTATTCTTCAGTGTCAGGCTCGGACAATAGCGTTGAGGTCTACAGAAGCCGCTGGTTATTTGTCATAACCCCTGAAGGCAGTAGGTGCTGGACTCATCACCCCCTGAAGGCAGTAGGTGCTGGACTCATCACCCCCTGAAGGCAGTAGGTGCTGGACTCATCACCCCCTGAAGGCAGTAGGTGCTGGACTCATCACCTCCTGAAGGCAGTAGGTGCTGGACTCATCACCCCCTGAAGGCAGTAGGTGCTACTTGAGGTCATGACTCACCCAGCGTCTCCCCCAGCAGGAGGGAGGTCTCGAGGGCGGTGGTGAGGGCGGCCACGTCCCCAAAGCCGAGGTTGGCGCCCTGGCCTGCCAGCGGGTGGACGCGGTGGGCGGCGTCCCTGTCACCACATGCATTATAATAATAATCCTTGTATACAACACCTACAACTATAGTATAAAGTTATTATAATTATAGTATAACGTTGCTAAAATTATAGTCTCAAGTAGTTACAATGATAGTATCAAGCCGCTAGAATGATAGTATTGAGGCTTTCTGATGGTATAAATACACTACCTCCATCACGACTGCCAGCAAATTAACCATTTGAATGCAGTACCTACAGCCGACACAAGGATGCATTCAAACAATAATGAGAATAGTTAAAATATTCTCATTGGGATACCAACTTTTATATGTTCGACATAAATTTTTGTAAGGAATAAAAGAAGAAGTGAAAATTGTCGCAGGAGTGACCATCAGTAAGATTGGAAATATAGATAGTGTTTATAAAAGTATGATGATGTTAGTGTTAATAAAAAAGTATGATGGTGTCAGTGTTGATAAACATTATGATGCGCGATAGTAATAATTGTGTCCAGAAAGCTCACAGCTATGATAAGATATGATAACACTCAGATGCATTAATGATGCGTTCACTGAGTGATGCAACCACGCACCACCCACCACGCATACACCCCCACCACTGAGCACTCACCCGACGAGCACGACTCTGTTGGCGGTGTAGTGGACGGCGTGGTTGAGTGCGAGGGGGAAGGAGGCGCGGGAGTCTTCCACCACACCCACCACGGGGGGCGGCAGCAAGCGAGAACTAACCTGCATTTGTATTAAAAACTTAAAAAATACTGAGCATCAAAACAAGACCTAATTAAAGCAAATACTTCGGGAAATTAGAAAATTGCAGCGTATTTTACGGAAAAGTTACCCGAGTTTTCGATTAGAACTAATAACGTAGGTGGAGGATAAGAATAGACATCAACTAACGCTTGAGAATACGGGCACGCTGCTTATAGCAATTATTTAAGTCGTCGCCAACGTGTAGGAAGACAACGGTAGCGCATCCACTCAAAACTGAAATTACTGAATGGGTCTCGACACGATGAGCATTCCAGGGATCCATTGGTGAAAAAGTTCTCAATGTGTATGTTCTCTGCCGTGGACAAGAACGAAAGTATAACGGTGATGCTAACAAACACCGAGCAGTGCATCAGAATTGTCATTATCGATTGCGCTGCAGAAATTATGGAGAGGAGGTCGAGACTTGATGTAATGCACGATTATAGAAGATATTAGTATATGTTGGCAAAAGTTGTTCCTTTATGGAGGTTTCATCGAAGAAGGTGATAATCATTGAAGATTATAGTCGATTTAACATGTATACATGTTAAACACGTTAAACAATAAAAAAACATGCTTCCATTCTTAAAGAGCTGTGCATTGCTTACACCATGAGGAAATACGCGCAGTTAAGTTGACGTTACGAGTCGTAATAGATTTCACCGTCTTTCAGCAAAACTAAGTAAGCTCGCCTCTGCCCTGATTTGCGAACCTCAATCACATCTGTACAAAGACCCACGACCTAAATTGTATGGGGAGGTTCATCTCATCAGCCGCAGGGTCAAGTTAATTTCTTGAAAATCCTTTCAGAAAGCTTGTGGCGGAGGAGTGATCAATGTTGAGGTTGCATTGCGATATCTTTTATGTATTGAGATTTGAAGGACACTAGATAAGTAGTGACCCAGAATTACATTTCATAATGTAAACTGATTATTGAAGTTTGTAAGATGATTGAACAATTGTATGTGGTCAGCTTCATTTTCTGTCATGGAGCACAAGCAAGCGTTGATGGACGAGGAACGTTTTCTTATCACTGTGGTCCATGTTGATCGTTCGAGACTACACTGAATTATTGACGCAGCTATTACACTGTGTTTGACCATAGAATTATGCAATTGAATTTCCAATGTATTTACTGCAGATGCAGTTACAATAAATATGTTCTTTGCGTCAAATAAAGGAAGTGTGACTTCTTGACATATAAAAACTGACAGAGCATATGCAAAGGGCAGTACCATCCAAACTAGCTCAATTACACGTAACGGCCTAAGTACGCGTAGCGGACGATGTCTCGTCTATGATTGGTCTGTTTAGCTTAAAAGCCACCAGAGATTGGTTGACGGCGTTACTAACTCATAACTATATTTCATGGTACGGTCAGGATCTTAAACCATACACGGGGAACTAGGATACCCCATAGGGGAAGATGGTATTCTACTGGCAGTTGATGAGATCAACCGAGACCTGCGCAGCCGTGGCGCTGCTGAAGAGGTGGCCGACGTCCCTAGCGAGCTGCGTGCCTCGCCGCTGCAGCGACTCCAGCCACGGCGCCGAGTGAGCGCGCTCGTTAGACCACTGCAAAACAATCATTGAGATTACTTAATGATTGTTATGTTGTTTCGACATTAACAATCATTACTGAAAACAATCATTAGTGTCGAAAATTCTGCCAAGCCGCATTAACCGCGAAAATGTCATGTTAGTTTTTAAGGACTACAAAAAGAAGAGCCACTTCTCTATGATGCGTAATAGTACTATGGATCTTGAAATTAAAATAAACATTACACGTTTATAGAATAATCAACTATTAACTTTAGACGGTTTTGGAAGCTACCCGATAAGAACTATAACCTTGTTCGCTAACATAAATTTTCTGGTAGCAGGTTTAAAAATCATTACAGCGTCGTTATAATTGATAAATTTTGGATGCTTGATCTTAAATCATTGAGTTCAAGATCCGTTTGTATCAATGGATCATATCCAAGATCAATGGAAACGTTAGCCGTTCAATGCTAAAAATGTTATCATGGATTATGCCCCCGAAAGCCCAAGCACCGTCTGGGGTGCGTATAGCTTTATATAATTTATTATATTATTATATATTATATTCACTGAGCTGTCACCCACCAGGGCCGAGTTGATGGCGTCAGCGAAGCTGCGCGCGTCCATAGCGAGGAGAGCCTGAGCGTGACCGGGGGCCGTGGTCCACACCAGCGAACTGAGGCCGTGGCGCAGCTGCACGGGCATGACTTCCCTCAGCACATGACTTCCCTCAGCACATGACTTCCCTCAGCACATGACTTCCCTCAGCACATGACTTCCCTCAGCACATGACTTCCCTTAGCACCACACAACTTCCCTCAGCACCACACGACTTCCTTCAGCACCACACGACTTCCCTCAGCACCACACTACTTCCCGTGCTAAGGGAAGTAAATATTCAGTACGCGCACGCATGACTTCCCTCAGCACCACACAACTTCCCTCAGCACAACAAGTAATACTAGCAAGTATTACCTCTGCCAAGTTGCAATAGGATGACACCGTGTGACCAAACAAGTAACTTTCATCTCCACAAGCTTGCAACAGAGCGACTAATGCAGTTAAAGATGTCCCCCTGTTCCTTGTTAACAGCGGCTAACTCGAGTTAAATTGGCACTGTATCTTAGAGATTATAAATGACGACTTATAAATTAATCGGGTGGAAAGAATTTCATTTCCTTACCTCGCACTTTTAAACCGCGACATAAGATAACAGATTAGCACTAACTGTAAAGCTAGCTGGCTAAAATACCGTTCATTATTGTTTCTTCCGAATGCACGCGTGTCTTTCCCGCCAATTTGCTCATCGAACTACATATCCTTCAAATACTGTATTTAATTTTCCCACTTCATCAGGTTCTTACTAGCTTACATCTTTAGACAAGAGACTCTCATCTCCCAAGCTTCGCAACGACCTCTCATCTTCTCCATCCAAATCATGTTGTGGGGCGGCCTAATGTTCACAATAGAACATGTGTAGCAAACTTGATTTTGTTCATGGCATTAACATGTTGAAATTAAAACATGAAAATATTCAATGTCTCCCTGCATTCGAGATAATAGGCTTCATGCGCTTTTTGGCACTCTATTCACACGCGAGGTCGTTTCCAAATATCGCTTGATTCTGCGCTTCGTATTTTTAAGTATTAAATGAGATTTATTAGAAGCTTGCTCGATGACACATTGAACTTCTCATCAGAAGCTTTGTGCTAGGTGTTGTTGCACGCAATGTGTCCTGGGGCCGTGCCAGTAACATGTTCGCACCTGCAACACAAACGACGCAATACTCACTGCTGCTGAGACGTGGACTCGGTAACCATGAAAAGTTCACTTACGGGCAGTATGGCTAGCGGTCCGTTAGGCAGGAACTTCTGCCAAGCCGTTATATTGCTTTCGTTTTCTTCTCGCTGCTCAAGTTGAAAAGAAAAATCTGTGAGATATAAGAATGCTGACAAGCATAACAGAAATAAATCTAAAATATTAGAAAAACGTTAGGTTCATTTCATTTATTAGCATTTAGCAACAATATTAAACTTATGTCACGACTATACATGACAGTGAAATGGCAACCTCGAGGTGTTGCCACCACGGCAGACTGTCCGTACCTCGAGCTTCAGTGTTGCCACCACGGCAGACTGTCCATACCTCGAGCTGCAGTGTTGCCACCACGGCAGACTGTCCGTACCTCGAGCTGCAGTGTTGCCACCACGGCAGACTGTCCGTACCTCGAGCTGCAGTGTTGCCACCACGGCAGACTGTCCATACCTCGAGCTGCAGTGTTGCCACCACGGCNGCGTGTCATGCGCACGCAGACATGGCGTGTCATGCGCACGCAGACATGGCGTGTCATGCGCACGCAGACATGGCGTGTCATGCGCACGCAGACATGGCGTGTCATGCGCACGCAGACATGGCGTGTCATGCGCACGCAGACATGGCTTGTCATGTGACGGCGCACCAGCGTGTCCAGGGACGGTCCTAAAATTGACATGGGACGTGCGCCACGTTGTCTGACACATTATGTACCACTCACGTGCTCCACAGACGCACCACGTACCACAGACGCACCACGCACCACAGACGCACCACGCACCAGTAACCTGGCGCGGATGTGGCCGCCGTCCCGCAGCGTCAGCAGCGGCAGGCCGTCGGTGGCGGGGGGCGGCAGGTCGAAGCTCTGCACGCGTGCCCCGTAGCGAACCTGATCGCCACAACACAACAAATTACGATTATTATTATTATTTTATTATTACGTTGCAATTGTTGCCTCAGCTTGTGTGCATATTGAGCCACTTATAATTAGAAAGGCGTCTTACTAATCATAGTTTGTTTCCATTGTATCTTGTACCATTGATTTTGCCATGACTGAAGTCAAGAAGTAAGTTTAAATATTGGTCCAGGGTTGGAGTCTGACGGAGATGAGTAGATGCTGGAATAAAGCCTGCCTTACTTGTTGTAACATGGAATAAAAGTAACACAAGCAAATTGTCTGTGGACACTTTAAAAAAAGTTTGCAAATTAAATCGAAAGTCTGCTATGAATTCGACATTTATTTCGATTTATGATATTTCACGAGCGCAGACCTCGATAGACGAGGGGACGCGGGCGCGCAGCGCTGCGACGGTGACGCGGTTCTCGACGATGTGGGCGAGCGCTCGATGGCCGTCGCCGAACGCGATCATTGCGTCCGATTCGCTATCCCAAACCTGCGGCGCAAACAACACCTCTTCATGGCGTAAATATTGAAGGCAATGCACCAATATTATATTCGATGCAAACACGACAATACACTAAGCGCAAATGCACTGGCTAATACGACAGTATTGAGCATAATCGCACCTGCATGCGCTTGACAGGGCCGGTCCTGACGCCACAAATGTCGTGCCAGACGCCCAGTTTGTCGAGCAGGCGCACGGAGGGCGGGGCGATGGCGCACACGCGGTTGTCGTGCGGTGCGGCGCTCAGTGCCTCCAAGGAGGCGTCCGTGTGAGGTCCTCCTTCGAGCACCAGCACACGTAGCGATGACAGCACCTTGCTCTGGCCTGCGATGCCATTCATAAATGGAATTACATTCTTCGATAATTATATCATGATCGATAGTTGAGACGATTTAACTTCCTCGATGATGGAAACCCATCATCAACAGTTCTAAAACGACCTTTATTCAGTGACGAAATTCTGAAAGTAATTCTTAGTATGCGTGGCCTGTAAATTTCCAAATGTTAATACCTAGAATTAGTCCAGAAAAAAGATTCAAGTTCATTTTAAAAACATGATTAGTCTATACGTTGACGAGACTAACAAATCAAGGATGTGATAGCCTAACCAATCGTGCAAGAGATCTCTTTTATATGGCAGCACACGCGTGAATGACACTGACCTAAGGAGCAGGCCATTGCAAAGCCCGCCATGCCGCCTCCTGCCACCACGATGTCAAACAGCTCTGCATCCTTCCTGCTGTAAGTGCTGGTGCTGCTAGTGTTGGTGCTGTTAGTGCTGGTGCTGCTAGTGTTGCTGCTAGTGTTAGTGCTGAAGCTCTCAGCGTTGGTGCTGGTGCTGTAGCGACGGCTGCCACATACAACGCATTGCAGCGAGCCGCTTTTCTCTGTCAACCGAACAATCCATTCATAAAGGAGAAATGACTTTTATTTGAAGAAAAAAATGTAGCAGTAGATATAATTTCAACCGCTAAGTTTCTCAAGTTCTTTTCCTTAATATAAATATGCTGCACACTCAGATTTTTTGCCACGAACAATGCATGCTCTATTGTATACGGTATTTTCAGTTTACAAAGCACACTAGGTAAGTAAACTTACTAACGACCTGTAGCGACCTCAGCACCTTCGTCGTCATGCTCCTTTGAAGTCTTCGGCCGAATGACAATTTAGCTTTTGTAAACCTAATTATGTTGGTCGCTAATACAATACCAACACCTATATTGCTCACACATGACGTTTATTATATATTAGTTTGAAGAAACAGTGTGACTGGGCGACAATTTGGCGTGAACAAGGAGCCGTCCGGAAAACTCAAATGGAATAAATTTCTATTTCAGTTAGTGATCATTCAAAAGAATTCAGCGAAACGATAAAAGAACTTGAGTAATTGCCTTTTGTTGTTGGAATCGTGAACAACTTGGATTCAAGCTGCCAAAGCGACCATTTCCTACCTTATATTACAGAAAATTTGACGTCTGCTCATGTTTACAGCAGCAGTTCAGCATCAAGTTTTCAACACCAACAGAGGGTATGTGGTGCAACATCCACTGTAGATTAATGAATAGAATAGAATAATGGAATAGAGAGTAATGTACTCAAATGGATCAGAGATTTTCTAGTAGGGAGACGACAACGTGTCAGTATTAATGGGTCCGTATCAGACTGGGCTTCTGTGCGCAGCGGCGTGCCACAAGGAAGCGTTCTCGGGCCTATTCTATTCGTTGCGTTTATAAACGATCTGCTGAGCATATGTTCAGTCTTAAAATGCCTAGCAAATTACGGACCAGGCAATAAGTCCAGCAGCTATCTCAATCAATCGTCAGCTATGGAAAGATCGGGTTCCAAAGGCCGGATCCCTTGTGAATCAAGTCACGAAAAGTTCAAGAATCGGCAACAGGCCATGGGCCTATTTCTTCAACGCCGACACTTCTAGATTAATGGGAGTGCCAAATATTTATACAAGATACCGTCAAAGTCAATAATTTATTCTCAGCCGTTATATTTCATTTCGCAATATTTCATATTAAAATTGAGGCGGTTATTATTATTATTCTACGAAGCAGTTATTGTGACGTCTGGTTCAAACGAATTCGAGGGCACGTTGCACATAAGTTAAATAGCAAGCGAAAAACAAATAGACATGATAGAGAATTGAAACGGATAAAAATGGCTAAGCACTTGATTAATAGGATCTACGAAATATTTCTGTCTTCATGCGTCGACGAAACACCTGCAACGAAGAAGCCGATGTTAAGGAAGCCGTAAGGCTGTTCCAGGTTCTGGCGGCGACGACCGGGAACGCTCTGTCGCCGACGGTAGATAGACGTGTAGATGGAACGACGAGGTCTGCTGTACATAACGAACGCAGTCGTCTTCTTGAAGGCAAATCCGACACGCGCTGCAGACCTTCCGTGAAATAAGGAGGCGCCAGACCTCGATTCAGTGAGATAAGGTGGCGCCAGACCGTGAAGGCACCGAAATGTCAGAGCAGCGACCTTGAACTGCGTGCGCTGCTCGTTGTATGCGCAGTCAGTGAAGATCGCGCAATATCAGCGTCACGTGTTCGAATTTTCGCTTATTGCACACGAGTACCGCAGCAGCGTTCAGTACAGATTGAAGTTTCTTAAGTGCTTTGGTTGGAAGTCCATAGAGTGTGGCATTACCATAGTACAATCTGTTCAGAACGAACGCCTCGAGAGACAGCGACTGACTCTAGGTATTTGTTGCGGAGCGCCTAAACAAGCGGTGGTGACTTTGACAATGTGATTATTCATAGAAAGTTTAGGGTCCAGCATAATGTCGAGGTTGCGAAAAGTAGAATGTGCGCATTGCGCCTTACAGCACCTAAAGTCTTTACATCAAAATGTCATCTGGGCTTGGACCCTGGAATTGGACGAACATGGAGCTGGTATGACTGTTAAAAATGCACGGGTCCCCAGGGAATGCAATAGTTCCCTTGGACGCTAATAACAGCGCCCTCCGGAGGGTGGTATCCTACCTCCTACATAACCAACATCGTTACACTAAATTCTCCATTAACAATCCATGTAAGCATTAAAATATCGTAATAAAATATGCATTGCATCAAACAGAAAAGAACGAGTTGACTATGCCGAATAACAAATAACCTTTTCATGAAATAGTGAACATTTTACAAGAGTGAAGTGATCGACTAAAAAGAGAGAAAGTTAGACTTTGAGTCTACTTCCAACTGAGCAGAAGTCTTCATTCAACCAATTTCACACTGAGCAGAATCTCTGCTCACCATAATATGCATGATCAAATGCTTTGATGGAAATGTCAACTACGGCGGCAGGGACAGAAATTTTGTAGCGCAGCTTTAGAGAAGCCATGAGAAAGTGGTGAATATGTAATAGTCCATTTCAGATTTTTTCTGAAGAAGTCGACATTGAAATATTAAATGAACAACTGTTACAGCAACTTGAAAAAGTTGACATTATTTAGAATTTGAATAAGAGTAACAGTCTTTAATCTTGTTGGTATTAATGTAAAACTAAATCAACATCAAAACGTGTATGCAGAAACAGACATACACATGAAAAGATATAATTAGTGAATAATCACATTTCTGACTAGGACCTACGCAATCTAACAGAACGGCTCGCTAAGGAAGTCTACAACTAGTTCAGAAAGCTGCAGCTTTTAAAACCTCAAGGGAATTGAGATTAAAAACGAAAGGGAAAGTTTGGGTCACAAATTATTTATTATGATCTAGTTCAAAACCAACTGTCCATAACAATGTTGGGGAAATGAGAACTGAAGCGCTGCGCGGTTACAAAGGAGCACAGATTCTGAGGAGATAGTCAGGGTTGCGTTCGGACAGTGCGGCTATGAGAGCGCGGCCGTCAGGTGTGAGAGCCTCGTGCTTCTGGATCCAGTGCTTGCTGGCGAGGTAGGCGAAGGCGCTCTCGAACTCCTCAGGCGAGTACTCTGGTACAGGCACAGGCACAAAGGGGTCCAAGGCCTCCCAGCCCTGTGAAACAACATAGCTTATCAAGGCATAGAACCTATAAGAAAATATTTAGGAAAACATCCGTGTATAAATGACTGGACTTCACATTCAATTGTAATACATTAGTTCAACAGTGAAACAAAAATGTTCAAACTTACTTTCAAGCAACTTGGAATGAGAACTTAATGAATAACTTTATTGAACGCACCTCTTGACCGAGGATGTAGCGAGGGTTGTAAGTGCTTTTATCTTTATCTTTTCGGCAGCAGTAATCTATGCTTCCGATGATGACACCATTGGTCCAATCCTTTTCAAGCATGTTAGTGAAGGCCTGTACTAGAGTGAAGGACTGCGCCGGAATGTATTTCCATGTTTCCTTAGTATAGAAGTCAACATGATCAATCTTGTAGATTGATTCCTCAGTAAACGCAGAGTTGATGCCATCCAACACAACAGCAACCTTACAGTTGCCTTGCGAGGCATGCTTCTTCATCTCCAAAGTTATTGCCACCACCACCTGAGCTGCCAGTCTGGGTCTGCTGATCCCCAACTCAACAATTTTCGTGATATCAGAGCCAGCTGGAAAGTTTTCACGGGTTGAAAACTGGTATTGATCAAATGACTTGAGCTGCAACTTCTTCAACATTTCATTGTTCTGAGTAGAGAAAAATTTCAGCCAGTCAGAAGCATCAGTTGTGTGGTCCCACACCTGAGGATTTTTGGCAGATGGCAGAATTTCAGCAGGTTTCTTGAGGAATTGTTTCAGCCAACGGTCAACCCAAGGTACCTGAAGAATAACAAAATTCTCCCGACTAAGAAAGTGAACTACGTGAGCAATAGAGCAAGTTTTGCCGGTGCCCTGGGCTCCATAAAACATGAAGCGGGGTGGCGTCATAGAGCTTAAATTGAGTTGCTTCAAATATTTCATGACGGATAGAGCAGGGCGACGGATCATGAAGCTTGTCTCATTGAAGGTTTCACACAGCTGATTGTATTCAATGTTTAGGCTGAAGGGATGAAAAATTCTCTTGAATTCTTCCCTTGATATGTTGTACCATAAGCCCAGATGTTCTTCTGTGTGATTGCGCTGTAAATATAAAGCATCACATAATTTACATAATTTGGAAAGTGTAATATCAAACAAACGTTTGGACATTTCTATAGGTATTCAAAGGCTGTAAAAAAATCAAAATTTTACAAAAATTTTAATATAAAAATATCAATATTTTAACCCCTAAGTGTTCCAGTGATTAGATAGGTGTATATCTAGTTAATAAATTTTACAGACAAAATGGCTTTCCCACAGACATCTGCTCACTGTCATATGTCATCTGCACATTGTCCCATGCATGACATCACTTTTTACAATGCTCAAGGACTGAAAAAATAGCATTAGAAAAAGGGCACTAGTCCAGACATCAAAATTGACTTTAACATTTGGATGAAACTTAATCAGTCAAATGTTATTTTAAAAATATGATCATACCGGGTCATCCTCTGCTGTTAAATAGGGTTCCATGTATGGCATGTCAACGGGTGGTGCGCCCACATTACGAGGAGTAACAGTGAGCGTCTGCGAGGCTTCAACAGCTGCAGGAGAACCAGTTCTAGATGATGTCACATTAGAAGAAATGTTCTGCACCAGACGCAAACACTTTCCATGATGAACCCCTGGGAAAATATAAACAGTGAAAAACACAAACTGAGAGAACAATTCATTGTACATTTGTTATTTGACCATAATCAGTAAACTTACTTATCTCCAAGCTATTTTAAAAGAAGCTCTTAATAACACTACTCTATTCAAGGAAAAAATTAAGAATGGCACCATGAGACCAGAAAAAAGTTTAGTTAAAAAAAAGACAACTTTTTAAATTAAAATGCAATATATAATAGTTCTATTTTCTTTCACTTTTATTTATCAAAGATTTATTCTATTTATCATGTCCTTTTAGTGCAACATATTGACTATTGAGTTAATAATGGACTATTCAGGGGTAAAAGCAATATTTTGACAAGAAGAAAGTCATTAATCACTTGGTGAGCATGTAACAAAATTAACCATAGAATTAAAGGGATGGTATTCAATAGGGCATAAATTATTTAAAAAAAAAAGATGATTCTCAAATAGAAAATAAATTTTATTTCATTAGCAACCCTAATTCATTGAAAAAATTAAAGATAATTCTCAAATTAGAGCTGAAATTCATTTTTGCAAGTTGCCTAGATCTCTCTAGATTGTGTTAAGATGCATACAATTATAGGTCATACAATACTATGGAAATGTACATAAATATATTAGCCATAGAAAAAAAGCATGACAAATTTATATATAGCATGAGTAGGTAGGTACTTTTATTTCTGAACTTAACTAAAAATAATTGACAAAAGCCATCTGTAAATGAGCCAAAACAACCCATGCCTTTCCATTAATTCAACTATTTGCCCAGTGGCCCATGCCTTGTTCCTGATGTGAAAAATACATAAAATTGCAAATTTTTATTTCCAATTTCCAAAAGTGATAATGGAGCAATACTTTTTTCAAACAATTTTTGGAAGAACTTGCTCAATATTCCAGGTTGGCTCAATAGTGAGGATGATGCATTGTGCATTTGGCATAAGAATAAATTCTTCCTATCTAGCCACAGTTAGGATAATATGGCACATGCATGAGAATGTTCATTCCAATTGTTCAAATTTGACCTCTTGGGATGTTTTAGGCGCTTATATAGTATTCCACTACCCAAGTCAACATTACAGCCTTAAATATTATCTATGTGGAACTGCATGCCCAATTACAATAATATGACAGTAAATCATGACCCTTTGGGTCAATTTATTGGCACCTTTACAAGTTTTCCATCAAGCATGGTAGATTTCTAGGATTTAGGGTACCTTTAGGTTTTATCAGATCCACCATAGAAATTTTTATTTACATCAACTATTTGCACTGGCAACACAAAAAAAAAGAGCAAGGGGGACTAAATGTTTCACCCTCATTTTTGCACACACAGTGTGAGCAAAGAGCAAACTTCTATTTTACCATTTCACCTATCAGGTTTCACCATTAAATGCAGTGTAATTCCAACATAAAGGTCTTCCACTTAATTAGTAGTAACCTTCCAGCATGTAACTGAATATGGTATGCTACACCAAACTATTGGCATCATAACAGAGTCTGTGACAGTAAACTACAAATCTCACCCAAAAACCACATGGTGATGAACCTAACATTGCATTTCTTCAATTCAATATTGTATACACTATTAGAGTATTATATATTGTCACACCATCACTTTTGTAATGACTTTAACAAAACTTTAACACTATATATGTGAAATAATAACAATAACTGAAATAGAAAATAAAAACTGATTTGAAGAATGAATAGAATGAAAAAGTTAAAAATATTTGAAAAATTGTTTGATTAAGTCATGGATGTGAAATTCAATGTTAGCATAATTTCTTGATAAGATATGATTTCACCCTCATAGGTAATATATGTCATGAATTATACAGTTTTTGAGATGTGCTATGGGACTTTCCAGCTAGACTTATACTAGATTTCTTTCTTATGACATTTAAACATTTGAATAATTTTAGCAAAGTATCATTAGATATTAATAGAAAATTTTTCCAATTTTTGTTTAAATCCTGTTACTTTTCTGTTAGTCTAAAACCATTACAAAAGTACTAGACTATTAATGGATGAATTCATGCAATAACAATTTAATTTATTCTTATCTTGTTATTAATTCAAGGTGTGACAATGCACACAAATGTGTAAATAACAATTCTATGACATATTACAGTCATGAATCAATATCTCATACCTAAAACTAGTGATGAAAGAATAGTTAAATTATGTATGGACTTTTGGATTCTTCTCTTTTACAATGAACCAATAGTATCAAGCAGTCCTTGAAGCAATCACCAGGGGCATAATTTATCAAGTTATTACTTTATTTACTTATTTAACACCATCAAATAAATAACACATATACATGAAAAGAGATATAATTTAATTTTTATTATTAAACATAATTATACATTTTTAATAAACTTTGTCGCCTAATAAAATTAGACTTTGCTTTGATAGTGGAATTCAACTGTAAATTCATTGGAATGTTACAAGTGTGGAAAACATCTCCTTTTAGGGCCACGACTAGAGCTTTCCCACCATTTCCAGAACTAAGAGATTCCTGCCAGATGAATTACTTCCTATCTAATTGTTAATAAAAGGGCACAATCGGGCTGTGAGTTTCCAAATGTTTTAAAAATTTATCACGCCTGAGCCACAAAATTTAAAAAACAAATAGGAAAATTCCAATCCTGGAATGCTAGACTAGTACTTTGTGCTTCAGCTAGCTTAACTTCTTGCTTTGCATTAGTTGCACTGTTGCTGCAATGTAATGTGCATGGTGTTTAAAAATAGATTTTTTAGAATCAGTTCATTTTTAATTTCCTAATTTACTCAAAATTCAAGCCAATATCTTATATCTTATGTATAATAATACTGATATGCATAATTCTTTGCCAGTCTACTTATATTTGCTATAAGACTCAAAAATGAATTTGATGAAAAAAGTCTCAGTTTGAGCTTGCTGTGATTTGGGCAATTTGATCAACTGATGCCTAGCAGTCCCTAGTATGCCACACTCAGGATGATGTATGTTTTAGGTGAATTTTCCCGCGCATTTTCACTTTTTTTAAGCTATTGCTGTGCACAGTTGGCACAATGTAATGAAAATTGATTCTCTTTGCGCACGTGTTCGCGCAATCCCGGCCATCAATTCTACGTTGCGCTGTCGCACACGAGCAGTTTGTGGAGGAACAGACGTAATACTCAGTACAGTATGCCTTTAATTATCTTTCAATAATATATGATTTTTCTTGAACACCGTCTGTTTACATTTTGTATGTATAATAGCCGCAGTTTATGATTACCGTACGTTCCGTATCCGACAAGCGGAAGAGTCAGAAGTAACCTGGACATGTCTTACATTTTATTATTTCAGTTCAACTCGCGTAGTTGATATAAACTTTGATCTTTGATGACCAACAAAATATAACTTTTTAATAGGGAGACTTCATGTTTATTACCTATACTACAAGTAATGATCTTTATTTAATTAGAGCCACGTTGAAATGTTTTTTTTTCGAAGCCCGCTTCTAGATCATTAATGTTTTATATACATCCTTGTATTGTTAGGGACGCTCGCTGCTGCCATCAGATCTTAAAATGTAAAAGTCTAATAGATACAGATTTGCATGAATAATGCCATTCAATATCGCATAGTTCTGTAGTCATATTTTGTATCGTCCCCACGGCCAGTGTAGCTGTCAGCTGACTTTCTTCAGAAGTGCAAAAGCTTTTGCCGGTGAAGGTCACAGAAGGTGTGTTTTACGATCGGTCCGTAAAAAAGCGTTGATCGGTTCAAAATGACAAAAGAACAGGTTCTTTTGAATAACCTATGGATTGCCACCATGCGCCTGTGAAATAATTATTCTTCTCCATAACTTTAAAGAAATACTGCTTAATATTCCAGATTGGTCAGGAATAAGTTCATCAGTTTATTTTCAATTTCCTGTCCTAGTTCAAAATTTTATTTTGTATTTATGTTTGCTGATATGCTAGAATAAGATAGGCTAGCCTACTTTGCTTCTCTTAGTTCTCTACTCCTTGAACTCAGAATGAAGATTCATAGAAAGTCTATGCTTTTTTTTCATGGCACTAACTTTTGTTTGCTACTCCAGGCTAACTGTGAATGCCAAGATAAGGCATGTAATGTAGATTGTAGCATGCACCTAACCTAACCTAAGCAATACCTAGTTTATGGAACTAATGGAAGTAACTCAAGTTACTCAACTAATGGAACTTGTGAATTGGCATAAACTGGATTGTTCAGAAAATATAACTCAAAAGCGCACACTTGAATACTTATAATACTCACTTGACAAGCTAAAAAGCTTCCTAAACATATTGAACTTTCTTTATATCTCCGTTTTTATTAATCTATGAACTTCAAAGAGGTAGGCGTTGACCGGTTGTTATTGTTTGCATTGTCAGACGGCGCCAACTCAACCACACCTACGGAAAATAATCAAAACTGTCAAACTTTCCTAGAATTTTGCCCCGTAAACCCATGAGCATTTTTAGACATTTAATTAAATTAGAAGTCAATACCTAGAAAGAAAGAAACTTAAATGAATAGTTTTCTTCCTAAACTCGCTTTTTTCACCGCAGGTATAAGCTAGTATTGGATCGCAAGGACGGCTCAGACAATTTTACGGCCGGACTCGCGGCCGAGGCCAGCACAGACTAATTTCACAATAATTAAAATTCCTTTTCGCGAACGAGCATACTAGAGAGCATTATGACCAACGCAATTGAATCAATACAGCAAAAGAATCCGTGATTCTTCGGCTAACTTAAATCTATTTATACTCTACATGATATAATAATAATAGGGCACAGTAGTGTCAGCTTAAAAAGAGCGGTGTTGGCGCCCATAATTTTCGCAACTAGTTACGGATTGCGAAACCTTCAACTTGCTGCTCAAACCATAGTGATTTTAAACACCTAGCCACCCCGAAATTTTCATGACCACCTGACTAGATCATCATGGCCACCTGCTCAAATTCATTTATGTGAGGTGCAGCTGTGATTGCTTCTTTTATAGACATTAACTAAGCTTTCTTGCACAGAACCCTTCGGGTTTACAGTAATCCAGCTTGTGCTGGGACTCTTACTTAAAGACCTGAGGTGATCATTCCGCTGAGCTCCATAATAACAACAATTAGGAGGAACGGTGGATTTTCAAGTAGCCTGTAAGAGCTGGGTTTGTTTAATCTTGTTTGTTTAATCTAACCACAAATCCGTCAGTGCTTAAACAGATTCTGAAAAAATTTAGATTATTTTTAAATTAAGTAGCATTCCAAGAAAAACGACGATACGAATTGCCACTTCGAGGCAGATAAGCCATATTATCTTTGATCAATGAAGTCAACATCATCTATTAGCTAATTAGTAAAATAATGTATTCAACGAAAGAACTAAAGGTGTAAAACATTTGTATTTCATTTTATTAGAAATTTCATCACACAACAATTGAAATATTTATGTAACACCTGCTCCAATCCCGCTAACACAACATTTCTTCTAATAAGGACTGACTTTAGGTGTCAAAAATAAGGATAAGCGCTTCATCACATCCTAATAATCTACTATAGTCAGAGCAGATCATTTCCTGGCAACGTCATAGTTGTCGGCGAACCACTTAACCGTCTCATCGACGGCTTGCTGCATCGGCGTAAACACGAAGTCCGGTAAGAGTTTCCTGAGCTTCGCATTGCTAGCCGTTTTCTTGTACTGGCCGTCAGCCTTGGATGTGTCGTACTCGACTGGCCCTGTGAACCCGGCAGCCTTCACCACCATTTCGGCCGCTTCTTTTATTGACACTTCAGCGGACTCGTCAACTGGAGGATACAAAGTACATAATTAAAAAGGTTATTAAAGTTAAACTTACCAGTAATTTTGTACGCTACAGCTACAACTAAATAGTGATCGAGTCAGAAAATGAAGCGCGACATGGCTCTATTGTTATTTAACAAAGACATCGTACCATAAAATAATATTCATAATTTTAACGCTTATCTCGACCTTGACGATTGACTAACAAAATAGTTCTTACTTAATTAGAAATTTCTGATCAAAATCCTAAACTTGACTAAAACCTTTGATTAACAAAATTTATAATGACTAATGACTAAATACTGGAGACAGTTATTTTACTTTGAATTTTATTTTTACTTTTTCTTTATACTCGAATTACTTTTAAGTTTATTTCTTGGCTCTAAACGGCGAGAAGTTGCCAATTTTATAATTGTACATCCAGCTTCTCGACGCTAGGTACCTTGAATGCATAAAAATGGGCATTGGAAAAATTTATTAAATTACAAACGGCCTTTAAAAATTTTGGATGCAGCCTGGCAAATAAAAATGAATGAGCAAATCGCTTACCCGAGAAAAATACGAAATACTTGGTATACTTAAGCAACCACACCATGAGCTTGGCGGTATAAGCAGAGTACTGACCCGAGAGAATGATTGGGTCAATGTCCGAGTAATTCTTCAGCACCCACACAATCAGCTTGGCGAGGTCCCGAGAGTAGATGAACTGACGGCGGGGCGACCCTGAGCCCCACACGGTCAAGCTTACCGCGTCCCGCTTAGCCAGGTAAGCCTGCCGGACCAAACTAGGGACTGTAATCATGGCAGAGGGAAAATTGTTTGGCTGTGTAAGGCCGAGTTCACACCATACTGCCTAGCAGGGGCCAGGCGTATGCCAGTCACGGTCCAGTCCAATATTCCTTAATTCCAGGTACCTTGCACGGCTGGAGTGAATACTTCTATAGAAATGCATGAAAGAATGTTGGACTGGACCGAGACTGGCATCTGTCTGGCCAGTGCCAAGCAGTATAGTGTGAACCTAAAAGCAAAGCCTAGAGCGCTTATGAAGAGTAGGTAGAAAGATTGTGGGTATCAACAGTTTCCGGCGCAGTCGCTCTTGCCTGAACGGCCTAATTTGTCCTGCTGCATTGACATCACAGAAATAAAGATGACCAAAGTAATCTTTGGGAGGCAGGCAAGGCCACTTCTGAGGGTTATGAATAATGCGAGAACCGCAGGAAAAGAATGGAAATTGTTCACAGGTCGTCCTCTGCGTGTGAAAGAAAAGTGGCTGGAGTTTTGAGCGGATGAAACCCAGGCATGTTATGGGTTAAAACGATCAAACGAACACCCTTATATCCTGTGCTCTGAAAGAAATTTGCAAAAGGAAAGTCGAGCGGACATCTTCCCCATCATACGGTTTGGATGGTTTTAAATCGAAAAAGCGTCATACATTGTTCAAAGTTAAGCAAGATGAACCTTCTTTGTGCACCTGAAAATTTCATCATAGAAATCTCATAAATGTACAAAACCCTCTGCAATTGTCTTTGGATCTGGGAACAAACGATACTAGATTTTTTTAAACAAAAATTAATAACAGATACTTGTCAAGAAATAGCTAAATTATAGTTGAGAAGACAGTAATATCTGAAATGCACCATATGTAGTTATTGCACACTGTAGCAAAATGTTAAACCCACGACACCCTATGACCGAACTGACGCCCGAGCACGGCACCTTATGGATGAGTCCAGGCAGCACGTGGCCGTCCTCGATGCTGAAGTTGTCGTGAGGGCCGAACACGTTGGTGGGGATGACTGAGGTATAGCGGAGGCCGTACTGGTCGTGGTAGCACTGGTTCATCACGTCCAACATGCGCTTAGCGTAGCTGTAGCCTTTGTTGGAGGGGTGAGGCGGGCCGTTGTGCACCTGCACGCGACACTCCATAATAATTGCTGGCTACCGCAGTATGAGGAGGGAAGTTCACATTCCAAGGTTTCACAACTAAAGCATTCGACGTCTAATAGCTAGTCATTTAAGGTATGAACATCGTACTACGTCCGAGACAGTCGTAAAATACCTGTGAGAGAGCCGTACAACGTCCGAGACTGCCGTACAACGTCCGAGACTACCGTACAACGTCCGAGACTGCCCTACAACGTCCGAGACTGCCGTACAACGTCAGAGACTGCCGTACAACGTCAGAGACTGCCGTACAACGTCCGAGACATCCCTGCAACGTCCGAGACAGCCCTACTACGTCCGAGACTGCCGTACAACGTCCGAGACTGCCGTACAACGTCCGAGACTGCCGTACAACGTCCGAGACTGCCGTACAACGTCCGAGACAGCCCTACAACGTCCGAGACAACATTACTACGTCCGAGACAGCCCTACAACGTCCGAGACAACATTACTACGTCCCAGACAACATTACTACGTCCGAGACGACATTACTACGTCCGAGACTGCCGTATAACGTCCGAGACTGCCGTATAACGTCCGAGTTGCCTTCCTACCATGATGAATAAATAATATGGCTTAGGCTCTGATTTAAAGCCTACTGATTGTTCACAACTACACACTCTATGGGGATTGCTCAACAGCTAGGGTAATGTTAAAATGTTAGTCAATAAACCATTGTTGGAGCTATATGAAATTATGGCTATGTTAGCATCAATAGTTAAGACATTAGAGGCACATAATTGACATCTTAAAATTCAATTTTGCATTCTAAAATTCTCAAGTGTTTGGCTAAAGGTTTCTTTAGTTATCTAATTTCTGAAAAAAAAGTATTTGTAAAAAATCGGAAAAAAGGGCAAGCAATGTAAAAAGAATTTTTCACAGAAAAATGTGGTCTTTTTGGTACAAGTTTAACATTTCATGATGAGAAAAGTAATAATATTTGCTTAAGGTACTAACCATGGTCTCGTCAATAGGATAAGTAGTTTTGTCAGGGAATATGCAAGTAGAAAGACATGACACCACCTTCACCACACCAGCCTCCTTGCTGCACTTCAGTACATTGTCGTTGATGAGGAGATTGTTGCGCTGGACAAGTAAATTAAAACATACATAATTAAATGCTGCACCCATCAACTAAGTTAATACCTATTCTAAGAAAATATAGATAAGAATCATGGTTGAATCTTCAATACATTTTTTCTGAAATATCTCTCATTTTGTTACCAGATGAAAAAAATTTGAGTCACTGCTTTTGATATATGAAATTAATGCAGAAGATGACTAAGAAATGGATATGATTAAGAGTGCCAATATTTATGAGCAGAACCTCACCAAAAAGTCAGCATTGTACTTCAAGTTTCTGAAGAGACCTCCCACCATGGCAGCCAAGTGTATCACATGTGTGGGTTGGTGCTCATCAAAAATCTTCTTGGTGGCATTAGCATCTCTGTGAAATTAAGGAAACAGCAAGTAACTCTGACAGACATAAACAATCTTGAATCCATGAGTAATTCAATCAGAAGGCCAGTCTTTATTGCTGCCTACAGAACATTTTTTTACACGTTATATACAGTTAACAGATGCTGTTGATTCTAATTATAAACCATGCATTATCTTGCACAAGGGATCTATTAACATATTAGAGTTCATGAGTAGTATGTATGTCAATACTGCAAAGTATCCTTGAAAGATTTTTATAATCCTAATCCCTAAATATCAACACTTGTAACTGTTACTGTGAATTTCAAGTGGAAAAGCAGCTTCCATCAAAGCAGCAGATTTATAAATTTTTGAAACTCTGGAACTCTGTCAAGTTTTCAATTATCAAAATCATTGCTTAATATATTTTCATAATATGACTAATCAGAAGATTTTTATGATCCATCCAATTTCTTGTAACCTTCATAATGCACAGAAAAAATTTATTATTAACCAGGTTTAAAACATAAATAAACTAGGGAAATTTTAACTCATTACAATTGCTAGAAGCACTTTGATGCTTGTTGAGCGCAGATATTCATTATGAACATGTTATTTCACTTAGGTATCAATTTAATTGTTATTCTATGCCAAAATATTATCCTGTATTATATTATAGAGCAGTACAATTACTTATAACTCACAATAAATCAGCATCTTTGGAACTGAGAAAAATCCAGGTCTCCTCATCTGAAGGCTGGTATTCAACAAATTCCTGGATAGCTTTCCCAACCAAGCCAGATCCTCCAGTAACAAGCACACGCATATTAACCATAGTAAAAGAATATCTAGAATTATCCCCTAGAATGAAGACAAAAAATACATAAAAATTGAATTGTACGTAGCAACCACAAGGGCTTGCAAGCTAAGAGTAAGTTGAGCTAATACCTATTAATGCCTATAACATTGCCTCATCAGTCATCACTCTAGCTGCCAGCCTTTAACTGGAACTTTGGAAGTGTATTTTATAAACAAAACTGAACCACATCTTTCTAGCACAATCAAAAAAGCTTGGTAGTCATTGTATGGCTGTGGTTATCAAACCCTACAATTCATAGTTCTGACTAGTGACTAGTACCGTCAAAGGGGGTAATAAGGGACGGTTTTGAGCATTTGTCCTCAATAACTTCTTACCATGAAACATTTCATAAACAAGTTTGGACTTATTTAAAAGCTCTTTGCAAGAGCTATTGCATGGTGTCTCCAAAAAAATTCCATATGCTATTGTAAGGTGCCAGAAGCAAAATAAAAACGTCCCTAATTACCCCTGGTAGTGAGGCTGGGACCAGGGGGCAGGGAAATCAGGGGACACTTGAAATAAAACTTGATTTTAAAAGTTTGAAGAATGCAGACTGCAGAGTGTACTCATCCATTGTTAACCCAAATAACAAGCCATCCTATAAGCTTACAGATACAGAAAAAATGCTACATGGCTGCTGATATGAAGCTAGCAGTGGACAAGGTTGTTGTCAATGCTCAATGGCATGTCCATCACAGTCCATGGATACAGTAATATCACATCCATAATATGGTAATGTTTTGATATGGTAATATCATTTCAGTAAAGGAAAACAAGTAAAAATCACTGAAAATGTCATTTATTCTACATCTACATCATCTACAAACAAAGAGGACTTTGGAGGGGAGCGCAGCCATGCACCACCAATGTTGTGCACCAATAAGCCCTGAATCGAATGCCTTGGATCTCTCCGGACCTACACCAATCAGCCGTGCACCACTTGGCTTTGTCCTCTTCCGGCCATGACCACCACCTGCCATGCACCACCAGGCCACGGATCAAATATGACTTCCAGGCAAGCTGGAATTCTAAGAATGGAAGTTCACTTATTTAAAAGCTTTCCACCCAAGCTGAAAAGCTTTCCCATTCCCGCAGTGCTCTTCCAGGTGAATGACTAAATTGACTATAAATGAAAAGGTGGATCAAAAGTGGACTGTGGACAAAATGTTTCAATTTTATACTAGTACCAGTACATTAAATTTGTAAAAGAATTATTTAGATGTCACTTGTTTGATAAATATTTTTTTTTTTTTGTCTTTTATTTAATGAATTTTTTAAATTTTCCAGGCCTTTTGTTTGTAATGATAAAGTTTCAGTAAAGTATTTAGTTAACTAGTACTGTAGTACATATACCATACTTGAGGGTGGGGCTTATGGGCACAACCAATCACAGCTTGAAAGCACCCCCATCAACTAATCACAGCTTGAAGCATCCCTATCAACCAATCACAGCTAGAAAGCAGATAACCTTACAATTACATTATCCAACTACTGCTGGAAAGCTGAAAGGGGCTAAAATCACAATAATATCAACCAATCACAGCTGGAATTCTGGAGAGGGATAGGAAATGTACATAATGGACTGGAAGTGTAAAGTTCCTGGCCTTTCAAGCTTTCAGGTCCTGCTTTCCAATATGCTATGTGAATGTGTACTAGTTAATTTATTATACCTCTAGTCTAGAATTCCACACTGCTTCCAGGCATCGTTAAATTACGTGATTTTACATTCACCACATCTGAGGTTAGGTTTCAGATAGCATAGTTATGTTCCAAAATTTATCGTCCTTCGACAAGTGGCCGCTCGACCAAAGGCTGGTTCGACCCACGGCCTAGATACGGACGGCTTGAAGTGCTGAAGGCTAGGTACCTACATTCTGGAAGGCAGGAATCATGATATGATGATGGTCCATTACATCCAGGGCAGTGGTGGTCGGTATTATTGCAGATTAACTACATCCAAAGAAAAGGGTGTTTTTTTTTTTAATTATATGTTTTTTGGGGTGTAGATTACGAATCTGAAATCCATTTTTGGCGGTCGGCATCGGAAAACCGATTTTTTGCAATAATACCGATCACACGTAGCGCACGACATCTTGAATGAAACTTACCCGTTGCACTGCAACGGGTAAAGAAGACGAAAATGTTACCCGTTGCACTGCAACGGGTAACATTTTCGTCTTCTTTGTCCATAAATCTGGAGATACATTGCCACATCAAGAGATCACAACCTAACGCCAACTCGCAGGTTGGGTTGGTTCGCCCAGGTTCCTTTTAGATCAAAATGCTATCTAAAAAAAGGAACTTGGCTGACTTAACCCAACCTAAGAGCTTTTTGTAAAATTTCGATGAACAATCCGACCCTTTATATAAAGGTGAGTGGGTAACGTAAGTTACGTAACCCCCATGTTAGTAAATAAAGGTGAGTGGGTAATGTAAGTTACGTAACCCCCATGTTAGTAAGTCGCGAAAAAAATCGGTTTTCCGATGCCGACCGCCAAAAATGGATTTCAGATTCGTAATCTACACCCCAAAAAACATATAATTAAAAAAAAAACACCCTTTTTTTTGGATGTAGTTAATCTGCAATAATACCGTGGTGGTCTTTGGCAGGCGACCCTTTTGGAGTACTGTTAGCCTAGTTTATAACTGATACTCTCAGTAATCATTCAAGAACTTTAAGAACCCAAGTTCTGACTGCCACACAATGATAGCAAATAGCAATAGACTAATTGCTAATGCTAATAAATGGGCTGATTTGAATGTTAGTTCTAAACTTCTAATTTTGGTTTCTTAGAGACAAATCTTGTCCTTTCTGGTCAATGGTAATTTCAAGTAGCCTACTTACAAAGTACCGTATTTCCTTTATTTTTGAAAAATACTGTTTGACAGCTAGTACTAGTAGGTAAGAGTGTAAGACTATATTTAATTCATGGCTGACTGACATAATTGTAAGGCATTCATATTTCATGCTGCCTGAAAAATTTTCATGCAGATGAAAATACGAAAGCAAAATCCTGAAAATTACTTCGATCATTCTCCATCAAACAATCTTGATCATTTGATCAATGTTATTAGTGCACAGAACTGACAGAAGACTAGGTATGCAGAAAAATTACAGATAGTTAAAGATAAGAAGTAGTCTACGCAGATAAGGCAAGCTCTGTAAACTTGATTGCGACATGCTCAGCAAATTTGCGAGAGACACTGACAGGCGTCGGCCACGTAAGCAATTTATTTTAACCGATCCAAGCTCAAAGGTAGAAGTGTCATAATTCAGGTTTCAATATTACAACAAGTTTTAAGTAACGAACAGGTCAACTTGATGCTACAAAATAATTTGTATTCTATATCACACATGTTAAATCTAAAGTTGCTCTACATAGTACCGTCATGAATGCACCACGTCAGGCGGCCAAACTGATTGTGTAGCGTGTGCCGCGACTGCCGTCAGGTGTTCTGTCAGTTCAATTCAGTTGTCCCGCAGTCAAATTCAGGGTTGCCAGATGTTCCTTTTTCCCGTAAAATTTTGCTAATGTTGCCTTTTTAGCGCATTTTCTTATTTATGGATAAAATATAACTCAGTACTCACTGTAGTGAGTGACAGAGAGCGCATTTTCTCGTCGACGAAAACGTGAGGTCATGGATGGACGGACAGACAGACAGACTGACGGACATGGCGAGCACAATAGTGCATTTTTTCCATTAATGAGAAAATGCGCTAAAAATGCACTATTGTGCTCGTC